GCTATTTATGTACCTGCAGATGATCTTACAGATCCTGCACCAGCTACAACATTTGCTCACTTGGATGCAACAACTGTGTTATCAAGAGCTTTAACTGAATTAGGTATTTATCCAGCTGTCGATCCATTGGATTCATCTTCACGTATGATGGACCCAAATATTGTTGGTGAGAAGTAATTAATATCATTATTCTAGACATTATACAGTTACAAGAGGAGTTTAAAAATTATTATAAGATTATAAATCACTCCAAGATATCATTGCCATATTGGGTATGGATGAATTGTCTGAAGATGATAAACTTACTGTTGCTAGAGCTAGAAAAGTTTAAAGATTCCTTTCTTAACCATTCTTTATGTCTGAAGTCTTCTCAGGAAGAAAGGGTAAATTCGTTTCACTTAATGACACTATTGCTGGATTCAGAGGTATTCATATCATTTTAATATAGCTCTACTCGACGGTGAAGGTGATGAATATCCTGAAAATGCATTCTATATGTAAGGTACATTTGAGGATGTCATTGAAGAAGCTAAAAGAGTTGCTGCTGAAACAACAAAATGAAATATAATTTAATAACATATAAAATAAAATGTAAAAATATCATTATTTCTATTTATCCTCATCTCCTATAATTTTTATTCAAGTTGTTATTCATTATTTACATATTCTTCTTACTCAATTCTATATAACTGATTATTAAATTCAACTCTATCAAACTTCATCATCAGTAAATGGTAGACCAATTTATAATATTTCAAAGTTATATATCAATTATTTCATTCTTATAAGTTTCATTTCAATTATCTTATCTTTAAAATACTTTCCTCAACTATTATATATGAAGTTTATCAAAAATTTAGCAGTAATTGTTATAATTTAAATTTCCAGAAAGCTTAATACTTTTTATTTTGAAAATCAAATGAAAAACGTATGTATTTATTAATATAAATACTTTGAGTAGTTTAATTTGGAATTATAAGGAAATTGAATATTGGTTTTTAATTAATGCTCCAATTACTACATTTGTATCAATACTCAGTAATTAAAATTTTAAATGGATCAATTTAAGATAATGATATTCAACAGTACGTAAAAGTTTCAATATAAAAATATTATAAACAAAAGAATATTTTAGATAGGAAACAGTCATCTATCTGCAAAAGAACTTATTGAAATTTATATATTATATAAATATTGCGCAAATTATATTGTCATAAATGGTCAACCACTTAAATTTCATTGATGTTTTGTTCTTCATATTGATGATTAGTATCAGACATATCTTGATTCTCATTATGATTGCTCTCTTACAAAGAAACCTATTAAAAAAGGGAATTAATGGTATTTGATTATTGAGTTTGCACTTTCTTTTTTGGTGATTTATTTTCATCCTCGTAAAAATCATTTTCGTAATAGAAATGACGATCGCTGGGTTTTTCCTGAGAATCAACTGATAGGAAATTTGAATCAATTTTTTCTTAAGCATTATTGTTAAAAATTTTTTTTAAAGCTTTTTCGTCACTTATTGAACTTAAGCGTTTGCCTTAACTTAATTAGATTTTGCATTTATTCAATATTAATTCTTCTTATGACTATATTTTTTTCATAAAATAAAAATAAATATTTTAAATTAGTAATTATTGACAATTTACAATTAGTTATTATATAGTTATCAAATTAAGATAAGACGATTTTAAAGTGATTGATTTAGGAACGAGTATTTTTTAACTGGTTGAGCATTTAAAATTGCATTTAGGATTTTCTCTTTAACAGATATTTATAAAACCAATTCATTCAACACTATTGCAAAAATTTTCAGACCTTTTTATATTGAAATAAACATAAAAACATTGATCGATCGAGAAAATTTTATTGTTGGAAAATATTCGTTTTTGTAATTTTACTTTTTTACAATAAAAGAGAAAGAAAATATATAAAAATATATATATTATTGCTGTTTGTTTTGAGAATATCCAAATAACACTGAATGTACATATATTGATTGATTGTAAAAATTGAAATTCAGCTTTATAAGATTAATAGTATTAATTAACTTAATTCTAATTAGCTTATTATTAATTTGCAAGTAAATGAATTTTTGATACAATGTAATACTTTTAAGGTAAATTTCTATTTTGGTTTGCGTATTGATTTTTATATGAAATTTGTTGTAACGAATCTCGAATCTCTGGCTAATAAATTTTAAAGAGTTGTAGGGAAAAATAATAAATGAAATTTTTATTAATAAAATTGCGAAATTAATGACATTAAATTTAAAGATTGCCTATTATATGTATTAGGATTCTATAGAAATAAAATCCTTACAATAAACATATGACTCTGCTATAATATAATCTGAATAGATGATAGAAGTTATGAAAGAAAAGCCAAAAGAACATTTTATCAAGTTAGGAGTAGATTTAGATGATATATCTAATCTTTTTGAGCATTTTGCAAATAAAGATACGGATAATTAGAAAAAATTATTGTTAATTAAAATCTCTGAGAAATGAAAAGAAAAACCCAAAAATAAATACATTATTTTATTTATTATATTTCAAAATTCATATTTGTTTTTGAAGATAAATATTTAAAAGATCATTAATTTAATATTCTTTCAATTATAAGAAATCTTCATCTTAAAAACAGCCATCACATAAATTTTAATCAATAGCTCTTGAAAAACATCTTATTTTTTATTTTTTATTTTAATTTTATAATGGATTATTTTAATTGAATGATTGACTATATTGATGGTAGTATTTGAATTTAGAACGATAGATTAAATATTGATAAAAACAATTTAGACAAATTTGATGTGAACAAGTAGCCCTAAAGGATTTATTTCTAAAAAAATTTATTAAATTATTATACACTAAATCGCAGGCTTTTGAATGCATTAGATGATAAGGTGGACTTTCTATCTTTTTTAATGTTTACTCTAATAAATTTTTGCATCTAGTAGTAAGCCAGTTACTATTTTATTAAATAAACGATTCATCTACAAATTAAAATACCCTTCCTAAATAAATATCTTCCATTATTTCTATCTAAGGATTTTTATACTTATCCATAAATGATAGAAATGCAGTCAGATGAATAACATTTTATTAATAGAATTTAGTATAAATTTTTGCAATTTCTTCAAATAATTTTACAGTAACTTACTTAAATGCTTTATAATTATAACAAATATACATATTTAAATTTTATCTTAGGCATCTTTTTTATTATAATTATGCCATTCTAAATGACCCATCATAATGGGACCATTAGCTAGAATCATTTATTCCAAAAATTTTAACGCATTTTCATTCTTATTAGAAAGAAGAACTTAAAAATAGCTTTGATCACTAAAAATATCAACAAGAAAGTTTAAAAAAAAATTCCTCGTTATCCCTGAAGTTTTTACTTATATTATTAAGCAATTTATAAAAATATCACATTAAAAATAGATTGCTATTTTGAGCAAGGGCAAATAATCTTCTTTTATTCTGTAATTAATTTTTCCAGTATATAAGAATCGCAAAAATAAACTAAATAAAAAGAAAAGGTGTTCTTAACTTTCAAAATAAAAATTCTCCAAAAATGGAATAACATGTTGATTTTAGTTCAGAAATTTTAATTAGGGTTGGGTATTAAATTTTTATAATATGATCTCTTTTTGGATGAAGTTTGGATTAATAAGAAAATTGATGGGAATATTTACTATTTGATTATTAAAATTTTTATACATTTTATACATTGATAGGTTACTTTAATGTAAGAAGATGTATTCATTTATTAATAAGGCTTGAAGGCTTCTTATATGATAAAATCTATGTTCCATTAACTTTATTTTCCTAAATCTATTACATCCATTGTAATATTAATACTTTAATTAATAAATGTAAAAAGAAACTTCTTCAGTTAATACATCGCATTAACAATAATAACAGCAAAATAAGGAAGAGAGTAAATTAAAAAGTCTATTGTAGGGTAGCTATGATTACATTCATAGAGAAACTGGAAAAATGATTTAGAAAGTAAAATTGACATAAATTATATTGTTTAGAAACTCTATAAGAAGGCATTTTAACTTTTAGAAAAGTTTTACAATTAAAGGAAAGATTTAGAATTAGGAGAAATGGTTATGTTAAATAGAAGAATAATAAATTGCATTATTAAAATTCTAAAATAAGGTTTACTCAAACCAGATATTGAATAAGACAGGCCAGAAATTATGCTATAGATATTTTAAAGAGGTAGTTAAGCTATTTTTGAGTTATACAAATACTTAAATTTGTATATTTAAAAAGTTATGCCTAATGAAATGAAAGGAATTGTGTAAATTTATTAAATTATAATACAAGTTTAGAGGAAGTATCTCATTTGACAAGTTCAGATGAGGAGAATGAAGAAAGAATAAAAGAACATGAGGTGACAGTTCTATAGTATAAAATCAATGAATATGATAAACCTAAAAAGGAGAGAAGTAAAAAATAAGTTAAAGAATTGAATCCTTATGAATAAGAGATATCAGAATCAAGTAGAATAGCAAATATGATTGTAAAAACTTTGAAACCTTTGAATATTCAATTTGAGTTGGATCAGTATTTTTATAATTTAATTGAACTTCAATTAATGGCTAATTTAATTTTTAAGAAAGCAAACAAACCAAAGGTAGCATATTACTATTTGGTGGAAGCTTAGAGAATTACTAAATAAATATTAGATACTCCTAATCCAAATTTAGTAAATACATGTGCTAGAGTGAAAATGTATTTGGCTAATTATTTCTATGAAATAAGTGAATATCAAGAATCTCTAAAAGTTGCAGAAGAAGCTATAGTTATTTTATGTGGTGAGATGAGAATAAGAATTAATTAAGAAAAATTCGTATAAAAAAAACATAAATAAAGGTATATTAGTGTTACTTATACCAAAATAGGGAGAGAAGAAGGATGAAAAGATGTGTGATAACAACTTTATCAGCATTAATAATTATGATGTGTAATTATGAAGCTCAAAATAATTATCATAGAATTGTTGAAACTTTAACAACAGCTAGTTGGTTGGCTGAAAAATATATTTAAGGAATTGATGAATTTAAAAAACATATTGTTAAATTGGCTAGTGAAGGTAAACATAGATTAGAATAAAATTTAAAAGATTTAGCAGATCTTAGTTATATTGCAGAATCTATTTTGGATTAAGAATTGCATTAAATTAGAAAGACTTAAAGAGATTAGAGAGAATAATCTGAATCAGATTATTTAAAAAAGTTTAATAGTGATATGTTTAATCTTTTTTAAGTTAAATCATTGAATGAACAATTATTTTTTAAAACCTAAATAAAGGAAGAATAGAAAAAAAAATAATAATTTGATACAAAAATAATAGAATAATCATAACCTCATGGAACAGATGCTTCAATAAATATTTTTGATAGTGATTCAAATAGTAAAGATAGTTTTTTTGAAGGTAGTTTCTTTGCTCCATCAATCGACAATTTGTAATTTGATTCTAAATTATTTGATGATAAAAGACCATTGTCAACATCAAGAAAACCAAATAATAGAAGAATATTTAAAACAAGCAGGTAAAAAGGAAAATCTGTAGGTTTAATAAAAATTGGTTTAGAAAGACCATAAGATTATAAATCAAGAATATTGACTACAACATAATATTTTAATGAATATTAGAAGAAACCAAAAGTATAGGAAGAGAAAAATGTAAGTAATACAGGTGCATTCTTAAAGAGACAATTAGAAAATTTAGAATATCGAGAACATCCTGATAGAGATGAACATCATAAACAGGATTTAGATGTATATGTCAATAAAATGATTAATGGTAAAATTCAATCAAATGAGATAAGAGATTATAATGAGTAAAATAGTTTGTTATTTTAGTATCTTAGGATAATTATTTAATTTGAGAAAAAAAGAAGATTTTGATAAAAAAGAGTTTCATTTTGGTAGAAGAATGCTAAATATTAAAGCAAAAGAAGAAATAATGTTTAACAAAGAATCTTTTAAAGCTCCACCTGTAAAAGTTGAGATAGATACTAAAGTTAAAGATTAAGCACATATAATAGATGGAAAAATAACTGCTGAAAAAGAATTAAAGGATTTAAAAAGAAGAAAAATAGATAAGATGGTTGCTGGAAAAAAAATAGTTTAAACAAATGTGAATATAGATTTAAAGGATCCAGAAGAAACTAATTATTTGAAAAAAGTTTTAGAAAAAAGTAAGAAGAAGAAACTCAAAGATTTAATTCATAAACATAGAGAATCATTAGGATTAGCTAAATTTTTTGCTAATTTGTTGAGAGAACAAAAAGAAAAAGAAAGAATTCTAAAACTTAAATCTGCTTTAGAAAAAGAAATATCAGTTGATGTTGCAGACAATTAAAGTCAATAATAGTTGTAAATAAAATAAAAAAAGAATGTTAAAATAGTTGTACAATAAATAGATAAATAATAAACATAATAAGTTTCTTTATAACCCTCTTAGTTACAATAGTCTTAAGTTGGAGCAGAAGATCCTAAATTATTAGGTTAACCTACTTTAATTTAATAGAAATCCAATTCTTAGACAACTTTACCTAAAACAATTTTAAAGAGATAAAAGGAAGTTTCAAGTGTAAAAGACAGTCCTTAAGTAAGTTAAACTTTAATTGGTATGGATGTATAAGGAACAGACTTAATCTTAAAATAAGAAAAATAGTAAAAAGCAAAAAAAGTAATAAAAGATCAAATTGACAAATAATAGAAAAAGTCTCATTAAGTAATTGGAATGATAATTGATGCAGTTGAAAGAAAAATGGATATAGAGAATAAAGAATTGAAAAAGATGCTTTTTAAATAGAAAGGAGGATCAAAATAATATGTTGATGATGATGAAAGAACCTATTTAAAATTTATGCCAAAATTTACAGATATGAGTAGATCAACATATTTAATGTATATAAAGAAGGAATTAGCAGATAAATAAATAATTACATTAGAAGATGTTGTGAGAGCAAATATTTCTAGAAAAAATTAGTTAACAGATATGGCAGCATAAATGTTTAAAGATTTTGGATAGCATTCCTGATTTATATATAATTTATTATAATAAAAAATCATGCGCAATATGTTATGACGAAGTATCTTTGTTCGTATATTAATTTCGCATTTTTAAATAAAATTTGATTATTATTTGAAATTAATGACATCATAAGCAGTCCTGTTGACAATCGGATTTCTATTGGTTTTGAGTGCAGCAACTTATATGAACTATGAACATAATGTGAGTACAATAGATCATGGTTTTACAGCTGATTTTGCATCTTTCATCAAATCCTTTGACACAAAATACGATTTCATTAGATCTGATATAACTTGGTCAACATATGGGTATTAACTATAAATAACAATTATTTAAGTGGTGCTGAGACAAGACCTACATCTGCTCCATCAAAGTATCCAATTGTATTTATTCACGGAAATTCAGATATTGGAGTAGGTAATGGTGGAACTGTTGGATGGTAGACAGGATTCACTACACTTATAGAATATTTGTAAAATTATGGTGGATATACTAAGGCTGATTTGTATGTAACAACTTGGGGTAAATTTTATTATAATTATTTTAGGACCTGCAAATCCAAACTTAGCATCCTAAAATGGTCATAGTGAAAAATATGTTATGACAACTAGAAGATTTATTGAAGGAGTTCTTGCTTATACAAAGGCTAGTAAAGTTATTGTGATTGGTCATTCAATGGGAGTTACCTTAGCTAGAGCTGCCATTATTGGTGGAACATATTCAGAATCCATGCTTACTAAATTCACTGTTGGAAATCCAATTACTAATTCTGTTGCTGCTTTCTTTGGATTAGCAGGAGCAAATTATGGATTAGTAGATTGCACATATGCAACAGGATTACCAACTTGTAGTACATATAATGGTTTTTCACCTTCATCCCAAATGTTGTCTGCTTTAAATTCTCAGACTCATAGAGAAGGTGGAAAAGTTTATTCATTCTGGTCTCCAAACGATGACATCATTAAATACAATTGTATTGTTAATCAAAAGAATACTTGTATTGTCCCTGGAAGTGATGAATCAGTAAAACTCATTATTTAAATCTTTAGTATTAATAAAATGGATATACACACTTTGATGTAAGAGATAAGTTCGGAGCTGACATACTACGTCTTCTTTAAAAATTATGATAATATTTTATATTTTGATTCAGAAATTATCATAAGTTATGTTATAAATTTCACTACTTCAATTTATGATAAAAAATTCTACATAAATACCTTTTATTACATAAACAAGTATAGATTTAAATTGAGTAAAATTATTGTTTTAATATTGGGAGCTGTTAAAATTTAAACAAATGAATGAATTAATATAATAATTAACTCCTTTAAAATTATTTTTTCATAATCATATTGTTTTGTTTAATTAATTTAATTATGATAAGATTATTGCAATAATAATAGTAATTCAGAAATCAAGTGAGATATTCCTTAACTCATTCTGAGGCTAAGTTGAGAAAATCCTTATTCAATAATTTTCCTATAGAAACAACAATGTACATCGAACTTTTGAAAGGATAAAAGTATAGGGGAATAGCATCAATGAGTTTTGATTTGAAAGAGGCAAAATCTTTGTTTCTTGATTGCCAGGGTTAGGATGTATCATCATTAATTGTTAATAATCAAAGTCTTTAAAATATTAAGTAAGATGGAAATAAATTATGGATAGAATCAGGGTTGAAAAAAGACTTAAATAGGATTGAAGGTATAATTTTGATAAATATTAAGTTTATTTTCAAAACTAGTATTCTACAACAGGTCATGGCTTACATAGTTTTATGGATCATGAAGATTAATATGTATATTCATAATGTGAACCACATCATGCATCTAAAATGTTTCCTTGTTTCGATTAACCTGATCTTAAGGGAACATTTAAATTATTTGCTTATGCACCAAGAGAATGGAAAGTTATAAGCAATGAAAGATATCTTGAGAATCCAAAAATACCTTAATTTATTTATGAAAAGGGTTATTTTCCTAATGATTCACAATATAAAATTTGGGAGTTTGATAAGACTAAGCCTTTATCTACTTATTTATATGCAATTTTAGCAGGACCATATGTAGAAATTAAAGCACCAGAAGAATTGCTACATAATTCAATACCATAAAGTTTATATTGTAGAAAATCACTATTAAAATTTGTAATGAATGATGCTTATTCTATTTTTAAAGTGACTTCTGATAGTATGAAATTTTTTGATGATCTTTTCTAATATAAATATCCTTTTGGAAAGTATGATTAAATATTTTGTCCTGAATATTCAACAGGAGCTATGGAAAATGCAGGTGCAGTGACAATTAATGATTTATATGTATTTAAAGAACCTGTACCTAAATCTTAAATAGCATCTAGAGCAAATACAATAATACATGAATTATCTCATATGTGGTTTGGTGATTTAGTAACTATGGAATGGTGGGATGATCTTTGGTTAAATGAAAGTTTTGCTGAATTCATTGCACATTTATGTTAAGATAATGTTTGCTAAGGAGAAAAAGTTAATTATTGGGTATAATTTTTAGAAAGAAAACTTTGGGGATATGTAACAGATGAAAAATCAACTACTCATCCTATTTATTGTTAAATTGATAATACTGATTAGGCTGAAAATATATTTGATGGTATTACTTATGCGAAAGGAGCTGCTTTAATTAAATAGATATATTTTACTATGGGCAGAGAAGGTTTCTCTAAAGCAATGGGACTTTATTTTTAAAAACATGCTTATGGAAATACAAAATTAAGCGATTTCTTTAAATCTATGAGTATCAATAAGAATGTAAATTGGGAAGAATTTAAATAAGAATGGATAATGACATCTGGATTTAATATTCTTTCTTATACCTCAGAAAATAATCAAATAATCATAAAACAAACTGGTTCATATTTAAGAAAACACTCCTTAACTATTGGATAATTTAATAATAATGAATGGGTTATATCAAAAATTGAAGTTGATGCAAAAGAAATCACAACTATAAAGCTTGATGGATTGAAATAAAACACTTTACTTATTCTCAATTATAATGATGAAAATTACATTAAAGTTAGTTATAATAAAGAATAAACATAAATGCTATTATAAAATTTATCAACAATTAATAATAGTTTAAATAGATTATTAGTTCTTCAATCTATCTTTGATTAAGTAAGAGATGGACAAACATGCTTTTTAGATTTCTAATAAGGTGTGTCAAACTTCCTTAAACATGAGAGTGATGATACAGTTGTTAAAATTGTACTTAATTGGTGTGCTGCAGGTGTTAATAATTATACTCCTTATAAATATAGAGCATCAATAAGAGAAAATTTAGCAAATACAGTTAAATAATTGATAGATTGCACTTAAGAATAAAGTAAATTATTAACTTTAAGATCTCATTATATTAATTGGTCTAGAACAATTGAGAGATTGTCCTCCATTAATATTGATGAAATTGGAGTCAAAGATGGATGGATCTATATTTATAATTAGTTTTTATACAATTAACCTTCATGGAATCTCTTTGATAATTTGGCTCTTAAAGATGTAGACAATAAAAAACACAAAAGATTCTTAGAATCTTTGACTATTGATAAAGATTAACTTTGGTCATATTTTATTAATTTTGATAAACATGAAAGTGTTTAATAAGTATCTTAAGTCATGAGAGCATTTAATCATGAAAAATTCATTGATTAATTAGGAAAATATGAATCAAGATTCTTTGATATTATTGTTTAAGTTTTTGAAACTAAAGAATCTGAATATGCTAAAGCTTTCTTTAATAATCTATATCCAGTTGGTGAAAATCTTGAACTTTATTAATTATTATCAAAGGAAGCACTTGCTAAAACAAAAAATGATTTCTTAATCAAATTATTAAAAGAGTCTATTGATATTAATGATAAAAGAATAAAAGCGTACAAGACCTTTAAATGAGTTATTTATAATTAAAAATTATTTTCATTTAGAAGTATATATCTAATAATAATTATTTGCAAATTTCATATACTAGAATATAATTTAAATTGTAAAGTTTTAGTATTTGAAAAAACTAATTCAAAGCTCATTCTCAATAAATGGAGGTAAATCTCTCCTACACTAAGGACATTTATTTTATATTTGTATCCATTACTATAAACATTAGGGATGAAATTCATGTTTACATGGTGTTACCATTATTTATTGCAGTAATGATTTATTAATTTGTTTTGTATCCATTTCATCAGGGCTTAAGTTAAGTGGATTTAAACAAATAGGGCATTCCATTGAATCATGAACAATTACCTCTTTTATATAGCGAAACGGTTTTGGTAATAAAAATTTAGGTATAAAACATCTTGATCCATATTTCTCTTGAATATAAAGTAGGAATAAAGAAAATAAATAAATAATTAAAAATAGTCCTGCAAATAAATAATCTGGTTCCATATTCCTTACATTTGCAGGACAACTTCTAACATATGGCTATAATTAATTATAAATTTACATAAAAAAATAGCTTTGAAGACAAAAATCCTAAGACATAAAGTTTATTAAATTTGTAATTTTTTTATCCAACTCTCACATTATGAATTACTTATGGGTATAGAGCAAAAGCTAATGTAAGCATGAAATAAAATGAGTTTCCATATAATTAATATAGGATAAGATTTAAAATGATAAAGAAATCTAATGGAATTAAATAGAATACTTGAAATTAAAATAAAATAAATAATTTATTTTATTAATGCTCTTCTCTCTAATTGTGCAAGCATCTACCTTTAACCCCAAATTAATCCTACTATACTCGAATCTTTAAAAATAGCTTGGGTAAGTTAAAGAAAGGTAGGAATGATGTAAAAATAAGCGTAATTCTTGAAAATAAGTATAAATTTTACAAAGTTTTGAAATAAGGTATTGACAAAAAAATAAAATATATTTAAACCTTGGATACTAGATAATATTGCTGCCAGGAAAGAAAGCTAACAATAATTTGATTTAATTGTTTACTTATAAAGTTTGTATTTATTGTTATTTAATTTATTAAATTAATTTATTTGTTGACGCCATTTATATTATTAATATTAAAGTGGCAATAGAACTAAAGAGCAGATTATTTATAAAAGCGTAATTATAAGTTCTCTTTATATTAAAACTCAAATTAATTTGACAATGAATATTATTAGTATCTGTAGATTATAAATCACCATCTATTGAAAGTTCATTTATATCAAATTCTTCAGACTCTTAGTTTATTTAGAATATAAAAATGCCATTACATTAACTTTCAGTCCAAGTTTATAGTAAGTTATCTCCACCAGAGAGAAATATATCGTTTTTTTCAATCCATGTACTAAAAAATATAGAAAAAAATTACTTTGATGATTCAGAATAATTTGAAAGTTAAATTTTAGCAATCACATGTTTTTTTTCCTAATATTTAGGATTTTAAATAAAAAGTTAAATAAAAGATTCTCCAAATTCTGCTTATATTTCTCCTGAATCAAGAGTTAAATAATTAAATTATTTCATAGATTGAACTTTTGACATCCATTTCCCTTGAAATAAATTATCTTTTAATAAAGATATTATTCTTAAATCAGATGTTTGATTTTAAAGTATAACTTTTGGCAAAAAGATAAAAAACAAGATTAGTGAAAACATTTTCTATGTTAATTCCATAATTATTATATATTATATAATGATGATATACTATATATAAATTAAATATTTAAATAGTAACAATGAACCTTGTTTTATAAAAACACAACAAATGAATTAAATTTCAATATTTTTCATATAACAACACATAGACAGATCTATCTGATAATTATTTTCCATTAATTTTAGTAACAATCTCATCATCAAATTAATACCAGTTATCATATCTTTCAGCATAAGCTTTATAGTGTCCTCCATTAATTTAACCCATATGAGTTATAAGTGCTTTCAGTTTATATTTAGTTTACAACCCCTTAGAGCAGAATCTACAAATAAATTAAATTATTATTACTCTTAAATGTCCAACTTCTCAGGATAGGAAATAGAATCATTAATTTTTTGAGATGTTGGAAAACTAGTAAACCTTTTAAATTAAATAATTAAATATTGAGGAGTCTAACTAATAAACATTTTTCTTTTAACTGATTTATTTGTTTTTTTACATTTATCACATTTCCAAGTATCATTAATAACTTCTTCTCTATATTATTATTTTAGACAATCCATCAAATCAATACCTGTATAAGATTTACTAAAAAATTCTAAATATAAAAATACCTTATAGGCAAAGATAGATCCCATATTGGATCATATCCTTCACAAATTTAATTACATGATTTACAAAAAGACTGACTAGTGGATTAACCAGCAAAAATAATATCTATAATATCTTAATTTTTGAATTTGTAATCATTCCAGGCTTACTCAGCAGAATTAAATTCTTATTTATTTTTATATTTGCCCACTAATTCTTCTTGAATTTTTCCCAAAAAAAACAAAAGAAATTCATGACTATCTTATTATTAAATAATTTGGAATTTTCCAGAACATATTTCCCAAACACCTTAAGCAGCGATTGCAGAAAAAGAATTTTATCTTTTGATCTAAAAATAAATAAAAATATAATACTGCTCTTAATAATTCTTAAAATGCAGATAAAAATTTTTATCCATATTTAGGTTAAATAGCTAGAATTCCTTCAGTAAGAGAATCAATACTCAAAAGGACTTGTAAAGCAGAATTCAAATAACAATAATATCTAGGATTTTTTAATCCAATAATTGGTAATTGACCTTAAGTTATTAATGTTCTTTGTTATTCCAATTATTATCTTCTGTAATTTTAAGCACTATCATTTCTTGGATGCGATTATATAATTGATGTTATTTATCTATCAACAGATTTAGGAGTTGTCATTACTGAAACAGTCTAATTCATAGGTTTTTATTCAATAAATCTTGAATGATTTTAAGTTTAAATCATTGTTTATGGTTATTTTGGAGGTTTAATATTAGTATTAGAATTACTATTAGGTTAAACATTAGATTCTCGTTTAATAATAGTAGGTAATTTAACTTCTGGACCTCCTCCATACATTTACATTACAAAATTCCATGCTGACTCATTTAATGCAACATAGTCTTTATCTAATGCTAAACCACTTCTTATAACTTTATTTGATCCTACTAACTTTTAGTTATCTATAGATTTAATTTCTGTTTTTTTTCCTTTTAGATGATTTGTGTAATTAACTGCCCATTTATATTCGAGTGCAAACTATTATTGGATGTTTTCTTTGTTTATCAATTAGGTTATGTAATCATATTCATGTTGAACACTAAGAACTTACTATTTAAATACCTTTTTTCATATAAACCACGATTACGTAAGTCGTTAATATTTTATATTTGCTACAGCATTTCCTAATTTGAATTAATTTTAATTAAAAACTTAGTCAATTGGTTTTGCAGGGGTTGGTGATGGAACAATTACTTTTTAGGATTCCTCTTCTTTTTTCAAAGAATGTGTGTCGGAATTTGTCGATGGCTCCTCTGGCTTGGCACTCTTCCTAAAATTCCAAAAAACTACTTCGATTTCTTCTTTTTTGAACCGCAGCAGAACATTTAATATATATTAATATTTTATTTATATTTTTTAAATCGCGTAACTTCTACTTATTCCAATCTATAGTCTACACATAATATTAATTAAAATTTCAATTATAAAACCAAAAGTATCCTATTTACTTTCTTTATTATATGCTTCTCACAATAAATTGTAAATAATATCTTTAATCATATCATCACAAAACCATTTTTATTTCCATTTTAAATTATTAATTCATTTAAATTCAGTAAAAAGTTTCACAAATATATATTATCAAATTGAACTACTTTATTAATATTTTTAGTTCTCCTAAGGATTAAAAAAAAAAAAATAGGTATTGAATTTACTAGAAATTCTAAAATCATTATTTTTAAAAACTTTTTTGCTAATAAATTAAGAAGTCTTAATAAAATCAAAATTATTAAAAGATGGGATATTTTATTATTCTACTTTTTATAAAAATATATTTCCAAATCCCTAATTTTTTATTATTCAATTGAATCTAAATATGGATGAGATTCTCAATTTGACATTTACCAAAATTCTAGAATAAGGGTTGTTTCTCATTTCATACCTACTTTATTGTTAATAAAATTATGAATTTAAGTAAATCCTAAATTATGGCTGAGATTATTTTTAATTAGTATATAAATATTTATAGATCATTGTTGATATTTTAAAGATGATTGAATGATTATTTGAAGATAAATCAAAAAGATTATGCAAAAAGAATTATAGTTTTCTGTATTTTTTTACTTCTTGATTATTTCAATTAATAAAATATAAGAAAATAATATAGTTAAATAAGTAGAATAATAAATTAGAATAACATGTTCTAAAAAAGGAGTTTAATGGTTTCTTAAATTAAAGATAAAATGGAAACTAAAAAAAGTTCTAGTTATGAAATCTTATATTAGAATATAAGAATGTATAGTATAATTAAATATGTCTTTATATAATTAAGAATAGATTTGAAACAATTTGATAAATGAATTGATTAAAAAAAAAGTAATGTAAATAATTTTAATAAAAAATAAATGAGTACATTGACAATTTCAAGATGTCCAATAGTAGTTCGACATGATTTTCCAGATGAAATGATGAATTATATTGATGAAAAGATGGATGAAGGATAATACAAAAAGAGGTTTCGATATGATCGTCCAGACAAGGTATGAAAATATATTTTGAAGGGTTACTAGAAAAAAAGTAAACAAACAAAATCGATTCTAAATATGAATTCACAAGAGATCTTTTAAAAAATAGTAATGGGAAAGAAAGAACCAAAAGAGGAGAGGTTTCGAATAAAACCAAAATAAAAAATTAATACAACTGCGTTGCACTCTGCTCTTTTAAAAGTAAAAAAATAAAAAGAAGAATTAGATATATGTTTAGCGGTATAAAAGTAATATATTATTAGATAGCAGATAAAGCTAAATAATGTGTAAATGAGAATGATATTTGTATGTTAGCAAATGAAGGAGCTGTCAAATTTATAATGTCTTAGAATCTTGATATAGATGAAGCTGCATTATTAAAGACAAAGAAAGGAAATACTTTTCATCCAAAACCAAAGAAATCTTAGTCTGTAAAATAAGTAATAATGGATGAGCCAGAGAATTTATTATCAATAGAAGGGAGATCATATAATATGGCTGNAAATTATTAAAAGATGGGATATTTTATTATTCTACTTTTTATAAAAATATATTTCCAAATCCCTAATTTTTTATTATTCAATTGAATCTAAATATGGATGAGATTCTCAATTTGACATTTACCAAAATTCTAGAATAAGGGTTGTTTCTCATTTCATACCTACTTTATTGTTAATAAAATTATGAATTTAAGTAAATCCTAAATTATGGCTGAGATTATTTTTAATTAGTATATAAATATTTATAGATCATTGTTGATATTTTAAAGATGATTGAATGATTATTTGAAGATAAATCAAAAAGATTATGCAAAAAGAATTATAGTTTTCTGTATTTTTTTACTTCTTGATTATTTCAATTAATAAAATATAAGAAAATAATATAGTTAAATAAGTAGAATAATAAATTAGAATAACATGTTCTAAAAAAGGAGTTTAATGGTTTCTTAAATTAAAGATAAAATGGAAACTAAAAAAAGTTCTAGTTATGAAATCTTATATTAGAATATAAGAATGTATAGTATAATTAAATATGTCTTTATATAATTAAGAATAGATTTGAAACAATTTGATAAATGAATTGATTAAAAAAAAAGTAATGTAAATAATTTTAATAAAAAATAAATGAGTACATTGACAATTTCAAGATGTCCAATAGTAGTTCGACATGATTTTCCAGATGAAATGATGAATTATATTGATGAAAAGATGGATGAAGGATAATACAAAAAGAGGTTTCGATATGATCGTCCAGACAAGGTATGAAAATATATTTTGAAGGGTTACTAGAAAAAAAGTAAACAAACAAAATCGATTCTAAATATGAATTCACAAGAGATCTTTTAAAAAATAGTAATGGGAAAGAAAGAACCAAAAGAGGAGAGGTTTCGAATAAAACCAAAATAAAAAATTAATACAACTGCGTTGCACTCTGCTCTTTTAAAAGTAAAAAAATAAAAAGAAGAATTAGATATATGTTTAGCGGTATAAAAGTAATATATTATTAGATAGCAGATAAAGCTAAATAATGTGTAAATGAGAATGATATTTGTATGTTAGCAAATGAAGGAGCTGTCAAATTTATAATGTCTTAGAATCTTGATATAGATGAAGCTGCATTATTAAAGACAAAGAAAGGAAATACTTTTCATCCAAAACCAAAGAAATCTTAGTCTGTAAAATAAGTAATAATGGATGAGCCAGAGAATTTATTATCAATAGAAGGGAGATCATATAATATGGCTGTTTCAACATCTCTTTGTAAAAATAGACCAACTTCAGCATTTTCTACAATGAGACCAGTTTCTTCAACTAAGAACTATTCTGAAAAAGGGATATCAGAACATTTACTATAATAATATGCTGATTTTAGAAATGAATTGTTTGAAAAATTAGTAGACAATAATGAAAATTAATAAAATGAAGAAGTTTAGATAAATGTAGGATATCCAAATTATTTAACAACTGCTATAGGAATGAAAGGTAGTAGAGTTCCTCCTGGTTTTCTACCTAAAGGATTAAAGAGAATACATAGTGCAGCTGCTACTTAAAATGTAGAGTTTAGACCTTTTATGAATCCAGGAGAAATATTATTTAATGATTAACAACATGTAGTTGCGAAGAGACCATAAACTGCTATGATTAGTAAAATATAATCAACAAGTAGATTGAATGATCATTTGAAAGTTATAGAGGAAGTTAGACATTAAGAGGATGTAAGAATTGTTAATCTATTAATCATTAGCTAAGTTAATTAAAAATATCTCTAGATTAATCATTTAAAGAATAATAATAAACCTTAAATGTTACAGGTAAAAAGAGAATCTAAAGTGCTTATCCAAAAACTAGAATTTGATTATAATAATAATTAGAATGATTTAAAAACCATTTCTTTATGTAACAAATCCTGAGACATTCATTATTTATAAATATCAATATTAGGATGGAATATATAAAAAGATTAGGCCACATATTCCATAAGAATTTGAATTAATGAATGTTAGATAGTAATAATAATATCGCTAATGGAAAGCCTTAAAATTTATGTTGTGGAGTATTTTCAATAAAGATAAGATTTCAAATCCTATTGATTTTAGAATCATTCTATGTAGATTAATGGATTTGAATACCAATATACTATTAGCAATTATTAGTACAATTGGATTGAGATATTTCCTTCTTAAATTACAATCTCCATTTATGGATTATTATTTTGAAGATAGGTTAATAACATTTCCAAAATTGAAAAAGTAATGTATTGTATAGATTTATAGAGGTTTGGCTTTGTTTTACTTCGGTTTTGCATTGTATTTTGGTGTAAAGAGTGTAATCAATTAGGAACATATATTTGATTTAAGTTTAGAGTATGAGTGATTATTATTATAACATTTCTGTTAAATGAGAGTTACAGTTGCGCCATTATAAATTTCAAGATCCTTACCTCCAGTTCCCATACCTGTTGTAGCAACACCTATGATGGTTGATAGGGGTATTAAATATTACAATCTTCTCATAGTCGTTAATATACATCATTCATAAGTATTTCATACTGATTCACCATTAAAATAACAAAGTGAATAAAAATTGAAGTAATTGGAATCAAGAGTACAAAATCTAGAAAGTTAATCACCTAATAAAGGGAAAGTTGAAAAACTACTTGAAGAAAATGAAAAATTGTTGCAGTTGGTTCGAGAGAAGACTGAACATGCTTCTAAATATAAAGGAGAATTACTTACTGCCAAAAAGGAAATCACTAAGTAAACTTACTATCTATCATCTTAGACTCAAGAAAGTCTTAGATTTGAAGGAGGAAGCATTAACGGATATGAGATTAAAAAGTTAGAGTAGAAGTATATCAAGAGCTAGTGAAAAAAAGGCTGAGTAGATTATGTTAGAGAAATAACTACTCGAATAATAATATGTTAGAGAAAAACAATATATGCAAAACTAAATAAATTAACTTAAAGAGGTAATAGAATCATAGTCCTCCTAAAATCAATCTCTTTAAAATATTGATTATCAATAGCAACATCTTTCTAATCCTAATCAATAAATTGAGTTATTTACCTAACAATTACCCTCATCAGGTTAAATCATTAAAGGTAGTTAAAAAAGCATAAAGAAACCTTAATCAACAAATTAAATTTAATTTGAAGTTCCAGAATATATTAATGTTTAATCAAAGAATCCTCAAGCTTAAGATCTTTTAAGAAACTTTTCATAAACTTTTTAGGATAAAGATTAATAATTAGTATCCCCCATAAAAACTGATTAAGGACAAGATTAACTTTAAGAATAAACTTAGCAAAATATAAGAAAAAATCAATAAAGATAATAATCTTATAAATAGCCTGATTAAGTGTAAAGAAAATCCATATCTCCAACATATGACTAATAGTAATCAGATTAATTAAATCCAATTAGATAAAATTAAAGATAGTAATCATATAAATAAGGAGATATTTAAAGAAAATCTATTTCTCCTAATTAAGATGAAGCTGCTACTGATTTAAGAGGAGGTAATCGATAGGATCATGCTAGATAAGCTTCATATAAATAATAATAAATTCCAACAACAACAGAATAATAACGAAATACTCATAGAAAATAATCTAGTACTTTTGAATAATATTAAGTTCAAATAAATTAATTAAATGATGAATTACTTTAAGCTAGACATTTAGAAGATGAATTGAAATCCTAAATAAATTAATTAAATTAATAACTTTAAGAATATAAATTAGGTTTAGATAATTTGTAATAAGATAAAAACACATATTTAGATTAAATATAAAAATATAAATAGGATATATAAAGTTAAAATTAAGAATTATAAAAATAATTATCAAATAATAAAGATTTATAGTTTTAACTTTAAAAATTATAAAGAAATACTGATTCTTCAAATAAATTATAAGATTAAAAACTTTAAGAACATTTACGTAAACAAAATATTTTAGAGAAATAATTGCAAGAATCTAATTAAGTCATAGAGAGACTTGAATAAGAAAATTAAAATATATCACAAAAGTTTGAATAGGAAAAAGATGATCTTATTAAAGAGTATGAAGAATAATTAGAGCAAAAATAATAAGAGCTTATTGATTTGAGTTAGTCAGCTCTTTTAGAAAAAACATCTAAAGTTGAATTTGAAATTTAATTTAATCAATTAAAATAAAAAGAAACAAATTTCAATTCTGAAATTGAAAAAATGAGAAAATAGAGAGATCTAATGAAAGCTTAGTTGGAAGAAACTTAGAAAAGTCTTAATTAAGCAAAAATTTAAATAAGTTAAATAGAATCAGAACATTCAGCTTAAGTGGAATTAAGAGAACAATTAGAAACTAATTATGCTATTTTATAAAAAGAATATGGAGAATTTAAAGAGAATTCTATTTCTCAATTTAATAGCAAAATGAATAGTTATTAATAAAAGGCTTAATTAGAATATGATAAATTAAAGAAATAGAGTTTACAATAGTAAACAGAATTAGAGAAAGTATATCTAGAGAAATCAGAATTGGAGTAAGAGTTAAATAACACTTAATAAGATTTAGGACATTAATATTAGGAAGTAACTTAATAATTATAAAGTGCTAAATAAACTATAAATGAATAGAAAAAACAGTTAAAATAATTAGGATAGTAGAATCAATAATTAAATTAGGAACATTAGGATTTATCAGTACATTATCAATAATAAGAAAGTGAATTGAATTAATTAAGATAAGAATTATAAACTTAATAAGATTAATGTTAATCACTACGATTTGATATTTCAAGAATATAAATAGATAAGGCACAATTAGAATCAACAAATAAACATTAAAAATAGATGGATTAATTAATGTTAGAAAATGATTCAATTTTGCATACAAATGAATAATTATAAACTGATCGAAATTAATTAGCTGATACACTATAATAAAAGGAAAGTGAGATTAGTAGATAAAAGAAGAAGATTGATTAATTAAAATAATTAAACTAATAAAATGTTGAGTAAATAAAGAAATTATAATCAGAGTTAGCTGAGAAAGAGATTATAGCTGAAAAATGTTAAAGTGAATTCAACAATTTTTAAAGAGAACTTTAATTATTAAGAAAGGAGAATGAGAGATTATCAGCAGATACATAAAAATATGTAGAATAACTTGAATAGGAGAAAATTAATTCAGGTAAGAAACTTGATAATTTATAATCTCAATTATAATAATAAATTCTATAGAGGGATAAAGAATATGATGATTTAGATAAATCTAGTAGATCAGCATTTATTGAATTATAATCACGAAAACAAGAAGCAGCATTATAATAGAGACGTTTTGAATAGTAAACTGATCTAATTAAATAATTAAGTGAATAATTAGAGAAGGTTTCTCATTAGAATAAAAATTTATTGAATGATTAATAATTGAATAAGTAATAACTTGAATAATAGTAATAAGAATTTGAATTCACTATTAAAGACTTATAAGCAAATCTTTAAAAATAATAATATGTTTAGGATGAGTTATAAAAAGAAATTTAGAAATAAAAACTCTAAGAAGCTAAACTAAGAGAAAATAATGAAAATGAAAAAGAAAAAATGAATTAGATGATGTTAAAGTTGGAAGAAAAATTAGAATAACATAAAACTGATACTGCTGCTGATTTATAAGAATATGAAATATTTAAATAGACAAATTTAAAATTGAATGGTGAATTAGAAAGAATTAGAGGAGAAAATGCTGATTTACATGAAATAGTTATATAACTTTAAAAAGAAAATGTATCATTAAGAGATCATCATCAATAAATGATTTCATAGATTGAGGAAAATCATCAAACCAGTGAAAGGTTGAAGACTTTAAATTAACAATATGAATAAGAAATCATTTTGTTAAGAAGATAAGTAATTATTTATTTATATATCTTTAGCCAGAATCAGCACCATATGATTAACCAAAAGCAGGATTTATTAAAACTAAAAATAGTAAAAGAATTGAAGAAATGGAAAGAGAAAATATTAATTACTAAAAAGAGATATCAAAATTAAAATCATTAATTGATGAAATGTAGAATAATTAAAATTATAATTCAACTCCAACTCCTGAAAGAAAATAATTAAATTAGCAATAAAGTTTATCTTAAAAAAAACATTTGTTTGAATAAAAGCCTAAATCAATCGATAATACTATAAGGAAATAATTATAATGATATATACTATCCATTTATATATATTTCTAATTTAATCTATTATTTTTTGTATTTTAATAATTTATTAACTTTTAGGTTGTTTAACTTAAATAGTTATATTTAATAATAAATAATTATGGACAAAGTTAGTGTTGAAGAAGAAGGATTAATAAATAGGAAGTAAAATAAAGACTTTTCAGCATGCAAAAACTATATTCCTGTTATTGTTGAGCCTTACCCTTAAACTAAATTGAAAAAGATCGATGAAAATAAGTATTTATAATTAAAATTTGAATTAAGATGGTTGTTTAATAAAGATTCTACATTATATCCAGTCATGTATAAAATTCACGAAAATTTGAATGGAGCTAAGAATATGTACTTTTATGTTAAAAGACAGAATGGACGATATGCGTTGCTAAAACATGGTATTGTTAATTTTGATTATTTTAGAAAATAAATTATAGTTAGTTTTTAAAAAGTATAAATCAAATGATGGTTTTTTGCATGTTTATTATCACAATGATATGATAAATAGAAGCAAATTATTAGATTATTGTTTTTATTTTGCTTAAATTGTAATTGTATTTTATTTAGTCTTATTTATATATGGATATTTAAAGATGCACGAATATATATGAGTTATATTTAAATATTTATATTATTATATCATGATACTAATAATCCTATTATTATCATTCTCACAATCTATCAAGAAATCTCATTAATTTTGAAATTAATTAGATTGAATTACCATTATATCAAAATCTAAATTTTTTAAATTTAATTAGATTAAGTTAATTCATAAGGATGAATTACAAGATCTAATGATTTTTTATAAAAAAAAGATGAACTTGAAAATTAGAATTTTTTCAATTAAATAATTTTTTCACTATAATAATTATTTTACTTATTTGGCATATGCTGATGAAAGTTTTAAAATTTTTGCTGAAAGATCTATTAATTTTGTTTTCGTGATCCAATTTATTTTATCTTTTATTGAGTAAAAATGTAAGGCTTATTAACAATCCTTTGAATATTTTAAAGAAAGCAGATTAATTGTCTTGATTAATGAAATATTTATAAAAAAATTTTTTAATAACTTAAAAATTTATATTGATGTAAATTATAAAATAAACTTGTGAGTGTCTATTATTAGGTATCTATTGATTTTATAATTTATTTAATTTATTTACAATCGAAATATCATATTTATTTTATTTAATTAATTTTAACAAATATAGTAATTTCAATTAAGATTAAATCAATACAATCAATACAAAGCACCAAATATTTGAATTATTCCTAAAATAGCGCCTGCCACTCCTAAAAAAAGTACTGTCCCATTTAATATTTCTATATAAAGCTTCTATCTTCTGAAGACTTTTTTAAATAAATAATAAGGCATCACAAATCCCAAATATACAGATGGAATACAACCAAGTAATGATATTATTGTACTAAAGTTTATCAAATAATATCCTCCAAACTTATAAATATTATTATTTTATTACCACACATGCAGAGACATATATTATTCTAATTCCTAATTTCAACCAAATATTCAAATTTGGTTTCACTTCAGATTTCTAAAAGTCATACGGCAATTCTTCCATTAATCTAATACATACAACATTTTATAATAAAATTGTCTAAATCATCGACAATGCATACATTATTTATAACGCATAAAAGGCATTTAAAATCCCTAATCCAATTTCTGAAACTACATTCAATAAATTTGATGTTATTAATTCTTAAGTGGAATCTCCAAATGCTAAATATCCACATACTCCAAATAATGTATAAATTACACAACAAATTAACATTGATGAGGCTAGATTATTTCGAAAACGCTCTGGATGCTTCATTTCTTCTCTTATCTCTGTTAAAATACCATTAATATCATAAGAATATAGTGTAACCCCAAAAAAAAATGGAAGCTCACTAAATTTGATTCCATAATCAATATTAGGATTATTGTCTGAAGATCCAGAATTCTTGATTTAATATAGACATACACAAGTAAAGAAATACATAACAATAAATACCAAATAGGAACCAATATTTGTTGTTTATTTTAGAGTCTCCATTCTTGTAATAAAAGAAAAAGCCATAATAACACCTATTGTGCCAAATGCTAAATATAAAGTATTTAATGAATTATCAGCAAAATTAGGTATTATCTAATCAAATGTTTATTTACAGAATATTAATAAGCTTAGTGCTTGACCATAAAATAAAAGTATTGTCATTATTTTAGATATAATGACTAATATTCTACTATTTGGTTCTATCACAAGCATAACACCCATCATATTCATTTTCTCAAATTTTATTGTCTTTTTAGCTAAAGGATTGTTAGCTTATTTATGAAACTCTTCTTCTTCTTATCTTATTTTTTTATTATCTTCATCTTCTATATCATCTATAATATCTTCTCCTATTATTTCTTCAAATTCTTCCTCTTATTTACCAACTTCTGATAAGGATCTTTCTGATTATATTTAAGCTTTTTATTAATTTACCATCTCTATTTCCATGACTTAAGAGTTATTTTGAGCTTAAGCCTATTATTTTTCTTATTCTTCTTTTCTCTTTATTTCTGCCTTTTCTTCTATTACTCGTATAAGTAAAGTCCAAGAATAATATTGCAGTAATCCACAAATTACTAATACCAAAACTCCACCTGCAATGTGCACTTTTTTAAATCCTTCAGGAAATGCTAACACAACTGTTCCTACAGAAACTTTTAATAATTTGCATAATGTTGACATTTGTGATGCCTATCTTTTATAAAATTGTTTTCTTTATTTTGTCATCTTGTTGTATATATCAACAATATTAGCTGGAAGAGGAGGTAATTTATATTTTATTTCCATTTCAAATTTTATAATTTTTTTATTAAATCAATCCCTCATTATTATATTTAGTCACAATATGTCTAATTTCTAATCTTTTGTTAATTAAAGGTTTTTATTTTTTCATGAAATGTTACAATAGATCAATAAAGCTTATATAATTTTAAGTAAATAGAAAAAATATAAATACTAAGGTGATTTGATTAAATTATGTTTAAGGTTCTAATTTATAATTATAGTTCCATTAAGTATGTTCTATTATTTTGATAAGAATTTATGATATAATATTATGATCTAAAATTTGGAACTTCTAATAATAAAATTGAAAATTATTAAAGAGGATAGCAAAATATATGAAATTTAAATTTTTGATTTAGTCATTGATAAAAAATGAAAGTTAACTAAAATAATTTTATTAATAAATAAGAATTGAACAGTTCAAAATAATTTTCTTTTATTAAAAAGGAGCATTATTTATTCGAAATGACATTTATTATTATTTATTTAAAATATGAATAAGAGAATAGTATATTAGGGTGAAAAAGCAACAGTTAAATATGAAGGTCCCTTAATGCATGAAAATAAAGGAGATGAAATTTGGTTAGGAGTTGAATGGGATTAAGTTGAAAGAGGAAGACATAATGGGACTGTTTAGGGATACTCATATTTCAAAACAACTGATGGAGCTAATTCAGGAAGTTTATTAAAGAAAGAAAAAGTTAGTTTTGGTAATAGATTATGGGAAGCATTATTTTTGAAATATTTCAAAGAAATCCCTCCATAATTATTATAAGAAATGGCAGTTTAAGAATAAGTAAAAGATGAATTCCTTTAAGAACATTAAGATCTTACAAATATTTAAGATGAGAAAAGTAAAATGATTACTCTTATTAATCAAAAATAAGTGAAAATTGAATTTGATGACACAGCATTTTTTGAAACAATGAAAAAAAGAAAAAAGATGGTTGAATTTTATGGATTTGATGAAATATACAAAAAATTAAATAATTTAGAGACTTTATAAGAATTGTCTTTAGAATCTTAAAATGTTTCAACAATAGGTCCATTTGGTTTTGTTGGTAGTATATTTAAAAACTTAAAAATATTGGGATTAGAAAACAATTTATTTAATTCTTGGCATTAAATCTTTGTTTTAGTATCATAATTACCAACTTTAAAAGAATTATCAATATCAAATAATAAATTATAAAAATTAGAAACATTTGGTTAACAATAATTTTAAGATTAAATATTTACTCAATCACCTGATTATCTAATTTATGATTATGAATAAGGAAAACACTTAGAAATATCAGTAGATGGTTGTGGTTAACATATAGAAGTTTTGGTTTTAATAGGAATGTAATTGACTTGGTAAGATATATCTTTAATTATTCCTGCATTTCCTATGGTTTAATAATTGTTATTGTGTAGAAATGTTTTAGTTGATTATGAGAATTTGAAATTTAGGAACACAGATTTATAGGCTTTAAAATTGTTAAATTTGGAATAAACTGAAATATCATAATTTGAATGCATTTAAAAATCATTTGGACATTTGCCAAATTTAGAAAGACTTATTTTAAATAAAAATAATTTAAAGGATTTACCTTTGGTTACTGATTTTAAAGCGTTAAGACATTTAGCTTTAGATCATAATAATTTTGTATAGCCATAGTTTTTGAATAAATTAGGAAATTTATAATTAAATTCATTATCTATTAAACACAATCCTTTAGTTGATAAATTAGGCAAATTATATGTTAGATAAAGAGCAATAGCAGAAGTTTCTAGTGTTTAAATTATAAATGGTAGCGAAATAACTAAATTTGAAAGAAAAGATTCTGAAATATTTTATTTAAAATCTTCATTTGAAGAATATTTCTTATTAAAAAATGTTAAACATTACTATTATGATTTTGATGATTTTACTAATTATGCTAAGTAAAATCATCCAAAAGTAATTGAATTAATAAAAAAATATGGAAATCCTTATGAAATAGATCCAACTGTTAAAGGAGCATATACTTAAGCAAAATTGTAAGTATAATAACCATAATATTGTACAATTAAAATAATTGATCATGTTGGAAAATTAAAAGATAAACCTACTCCTAAAAAACTTATGGGAAGTACTGGGTTATAACCTGTTAAAATGATGATTTCAAAATTAGTGAATATACCTATCAAATAAATAACTTTATCAATATAAGTATTATTTTTTATTTTATTTTAGGTAACTGATGATGCTGAAATAATTAATATGGAAGGAAAAGATATGACTTTGAATGATTTTGGTGTTCAAGACAATAGTCTCATTCACGTTAATGTTATACCAGAATGATATTTTTATATAATAATAAAATTTATTTATTATGAAAGCATTGAAACCTTGGAAACATCCATCTTAAATTGAAATTGCATAAGAGTAACATATAATGATGAGAAGATTGATTAGTTTGGAAAAAAAACCATTTATGCATTTAGACTAATAAATTAAAGACTTTAAAGCACATGAAGAAATTATTTAAAATAGAAAGAAATGGTTTTTATAATAATATAATTATTCTCATAAAAATAAATTAAAAAACAAAGGTTCGGTATTTAATGATAAAAGTATTAGCAAATCAAAATCAAGTTAATTAATGCATTTATGAAATTTATTTAATTAATATTATTATTTATATTATTTATTAAAATAATTATGGAATTTCAAAAGTAAGTAACTCTAATCATAAAATCAGAAAATCTATTTATTTATTAATCTGAAGATTTGGACCTTTTTTCAATAAAATATTCTCCAAATTTTGATACAAATGATTTTTTTGCAGCTACTCGTTTATTGTTTTAAAAATAATAAAAATATGATTAGGATTTAACAATTGAGTTATATGCAGATCTTTTATTGACATAAGAATTCAAAGAAATATTAGGAATTGTAAATTAAGGAGTAATATTAAAAGCAACACCATAAGAAAAAGTAATATTAATAAACTTTAAAGGTAACTTTGGGTTTAAATCTGAAATTATTCCTGAAATAGTAAAATAATATATTCCAAAAGAAATAAAGAAACGATATGCATTATTAATAACAGAGCCATTATATTACACTAAGTATGTAAATATAATGGAAGCTATGCATTTGGGAATATATAAAGAAGAAGATGAAAATTGGGAGGTTTATTTGGTAATATATATCTTAATTTTAAGGTAATAGAGCATAAATTTCCAAAATTATAAGGATTGGATGGTATAGTAATTACAGGATCAAGTAGTGCAGCTTATGATTTGAGTGAAGATTGGAAAGAACCATTATTTTAGTTTTTAAGAGAAGCTGATAAATGTAAAATAAGAATATTAGGAATATGTTTTGGACATTAAGTTTTAGCTCATTGTTTAGGTGGAGAGGCTTAAAAAATGATGCATGTAGATAGAATGTAAGTGGGTAGAAAAGCTCTATCAACTTAATTTAAATGGAATGATTAATTAATTGAAAATCTAAATGTTTATTAAATACATGGAGACTTTGTAGCATAATTACCAAAAGATACAGAAGTTATCATGAGCACAGATCATTGTTAAAATTATGCATTCAAAAATGATCATATTTTAGGTGTACAATTTCATCCTGAATTTAATGCTTTAATTTTATTGTACATTTTTAGAAATTCTACAAATTAATTAAAAGATATCTATATGAACGATTGCTATGAGAGTTTTAAATAAGGATCTGATCATTAATAAATCATTTGGGAATTTATGATTAACTTTTTAAAGAACAAATGATCAACAATTAATAATATGTTTTTATTTTATTATTAATATGATTTTGAATAAGAAATAAAATCATAATTACTTCTATTATTTATGATATATTCCACTAGTTATCGATTTAAATATCTTTAAGCGATGCCTAATTTATTCTTAAATAATAGATACTTTTTTTTAATTGAGCCCACTTCGATTTTCTCAACTTAAGTCCAATACTTTAGTTGAGGCATTTAATAATTGGTCAATGTATGTGAAAATTAACATCTCTGACCATATTTACAACAAATTTCTTAAAAATTTTTACATTCTTTAGTTCTATAATTTTTAGGTACATCTTTAGACAATAATTATTCTTCACCATGTGCAAAGTAACACTAAGAATTAAGATAATTTAAATACATTATTGCTATATGGACACATTTTTCCTTCTATCCAATATTTACAGAATTCTGTTTTCATTTTTACATTTAATGTTCCATAATCATCTTAGGTTGATGTAGAAGACAGATAGTCTTCACAATCTGTATACATTCGATAAGTTTGAGTTTTATTAAATATATTTATATATAATAAATTCACTATCAACTCATATGATTTAAAAATATGTCATGTGACTTATTAATTAATAAACCAGTTATTGATTATAAATTTTAAATTCATTTTTATAGTCAAATTAGATTCAAATAATCTCCTTATTAAGTCCATTTAGCCATAATTTGTAACTATAATAATAATATTTATAAATTACTCTTCTAACTCTTGTTAGTAATATTTAAGCACGTTCATTTTCTTCTAGAACACTTTTTAAATCTGTTATTGCTGTACTCCAAGGATATGCTCCTTAAGTTAATAATAAATGAGTAACATCTAAATGATCTTCTTAAATTGATAAAATTAATGGAGTACGATATAGGATATCAATTCCATCAATATCTGTATGATATTTTAGTAAAATTTTCACAATTTCAATATAACCTTTTTTACATGCCCAATGTAATGCTGTCATATTATAAAAATCAAAATCAAATACTAAATAAGGATTTATTTAAAGATAGTTTTCAACATCTTCAATTTTATTTGATTTAGCAGCATGTATAAATTCTTTTGAATTGATCTTTTCATATGGTTTTTTTGAAAATATTTTATGTTCCATAACATATTTAATTGTTAGACCTAAAGCCTTTATTTTTTTAAGAGCCCTCAAAAGAAATGATCTTAATTGTTTTTTTGTTCTTGGTGGATATGGCAATACACTTTTTGGAATTTCTGGTTTTATATATGGTTGCTGTTACACAACTTTTATAGGTTATATTTATTTTTTGCATAAGCTCGTTGTATCTGTATGCAAAGGAGAATTATTTAGCTTAGTAATAATACTATATAGCTCTTCCTAATAATGGTCGCTTTATTTTAATCTAATTAATTTATGCACACTTTTGCAAATAGAAGAAGATTTCTTGCTTGGCTCAGTAACAATTCTTGTTGATGGTAATTAAATTGGTCTTCTTTTAACTGGAAATAATTATCGTCCCATTCCATTTATATTTTTAGGAGTTGGATTTTAAATTGAAGGTCTTTGTACTTTTATATCTATTGTGCTTTGTAAAGTTTCGCCAAAATCAACTATTTATTTCAAAGAGTGGTTATGCAAAAATTCCTTTATTTTTTCATTGGGAGCAGACAATTTGTTTTTTTTTAGTAAACTAACAATCTTGTTTGGAGGTAACATAAAAAATTTATATTCCTCTAACTTCGTTTCATTTTAGACTTTTTTTGGGTACCATGGTCTATCAGTCTTAATTTCCTTTGGACTTAGTTTACATTACTATTATATGAGTCTCCTATAATAATGTTCAACAAACATTATTTAATAATTAAATCAATCTGAGTCAATATTAAGTCAATTTAAAACAGATGAAATATAAATATATTGTTTAATCATATTCATCAGAATTGAATACAATATTTTCAATATAAAAAAGATTTCATTTAATTTCTTATTTATTACTCTGATTTATTAGATATTCTAACAGCATATAAATCAATCAATATCATTTTAATATTTAAGTTGATGATTTCTGATTCAATATATATAATTTATTAATTAATTAGGATTTCATTTTTATATATACCATCAAAAAAATCAACCTAAAACATAAATTACCATATTGAAATTGCAACAAATTAACAGATCTAATACATATACATATGTTATTGCAGGTTTATCTAAATAATATTGAACATTCTTTTGAGATTTTTAATCAGATCATCAGAATAATTATTTTATTTTTTAAACAAAGAACCATACATTAGTTTGCACAAATATATCAAAGTAAATACTTTTAAAAATTATAAATACGAATTTTAGGAAAAATAAAGAAAAGAAATTTTATAATTAATAAATTAAAACTATTGATTTTTGCTGATCCTCAAATTAATTAAGATGTCAAAAAACAATACTATATAAATAGAATAAGCATAAAATATTTATTTATTTAATTATATCAGTATTGCTTATTTATGATTCTATAAATATAAGCTCTTATTATTTTAAAATTCATCAAAATAATTTTAATGTTTATTTATGAATAACAAAGATTGTCATATTAAATAAAACTAAAAATACATAAAATTAAGGAGTTTTGATAGCTGATATATTTGATTATTTTAAACAATTAAAAAACTGTTTAAAAAAAGAAAGAAATATCGGTATTAATTAAATTATTTATTTAATTAATTCAAAGTTTATGAATATAATTGATAAAATATAAAAAAATAAAGATAAGAAATATGATTAGAAAGCTAGTATTAGGTTTTAATCATTTAAAAAATTTAAAAAATAATAATATATTAGAATCAGTATTTATATATGATAATAAAATATTAAATTATTAATATTTATGAATAATAAAGATATTTCAATAACAATTTAGACTAATTCGTTTTAAGGACTGATGAATAGAGATTAATGTATGCAATTAGCTCAAAAAATCATGAAGCTCTATGATTCTGATTAAAATAGTCTGATGGAAGTAAAAGATGCCGGAAACTTGCAATCTGATTGCTATAAAGCAATAAACCTTGATTTTAATCCTTCTTAAAATGATATCAAAGGATATGCTAAAATTTTTGATAGTATAGATACTATTTAACACAATAGGAGATGGAAGAGGCAAAATATCTGTAAATGATATCGAACGCTTATGCTTTAAATATTTTGGAGGAGGTATTTCTAATACTGACCTGACAAATTAGAAAGTATAGAAAGTAGAAACAATTGAATTAAGCCCAATATAAGCTGAAGAAAAAGTTGATACTCCTTCTAAATTATAATATTAATCACCATACAGGAGATGGGGATCTTAAAAATCAACCTAAAGTTCTTAAACTTCTATTTAATCTAATAAATAACAAACTTCATAATCTTGTGTTGTACCTTGTACAACTTAAAAAGAAACTTAAAAGTACAGTAAATTAGCGGAAGCTCGATTACAAGTTGCTAGAAGAATTTTTAAAATGTTAGATTAAGAAAATAATGGATTCATAACAGAAAAACATGTGTCTCCTTTATTGATAGAAACATATAAAAATATGGGAATGTCGATTGAACCAACAAGAGAAGATATAGAAATGTGGATGGAAATGGCTGATGAAGATAGAGATGGAAAAGTCTACTTGATTGATTATGAAGCTTTAGTCTTAAAAAGTCTAAGATCATAAGGTATCGAAATAGATTGAAAGATTCAAGTTTGTTTTATTTTTAATTTCACATTTTCCATTGTTTTTAATACATTATCCATATTTCCTAAAATTGTAATCTAAAAATAATTGAAATATCACTCATTTCTACCTTTCAATTAATTGTAGCCAAATTCTCATTAATATAGCAAAAAATCATTGTATCTATCATAACATTTTTGTTCTTTTATTTAGACTAAAAATTAATTGGTTAAATACCTTTTTTCTCTAGTTTAATAAATACATTATTTCCAAATAATAATATATATATATATATATTTATTCATTTTTTTAGCAAACTTTCTTATACACGAGATAAAAAAGACTTTCTTGTTTTCAACTATTCAATTGGCATTCTTTTGATAGTTTAATCAATCGATTTTATAATTAAATTATTTTTTTCTCTTAAACTTTTAGATATTTGTGATTGTTCAATTGGTTATTCATGTATTTTTGGTGCTTTAGATAAATTAGTTTCATAATCTGAAACTAATTATTTAAGATTCTAAATAAAAATGAAATTAAATTACCATTAATTCCCCTTCATTAAAAATTGACTTTTATTTTATGATTTATTAAATTTCAAATCTTATTTTATTTTCAATATCTTGTGTTCCTTATAATGTTAATCTAGCAGTATTAATACCTTCTAAATGTTCTTATTCTTTTGAAATATCAGATATAATTTTCATTATATTAGACTATGTCGCCACTCTTTAATGATTATACTTTTAAAATTTTAATAGTTTTTTGCCAACAATTAAATCTGATTAATAGACTTTATCTAATTCTTCTTATAAAGATATTTATTGCTTAACTGATTTTAATGATTTAATTTAGTTTGCACCTTCAAATGAAGAGAGAACTTTCTATTAATAATATAAATCTAATTCTCTTTTTGCTTTTAATGATTAGAATGTTTCAATCTCTCTTTATGGTAATCTTTTTAAAATTTAATCAATATCAGAAGTGAATCTAAGAGATTTACTTTTCTAATGTGCTATTATAGGGGTTCTATGAGAATGTTAAGGAGAAGGATTATTTGTAGTCTATTTACTAATTTTTACATCATCCAATGAATTAAATGTTCTACATTTTTCATATTAACGAGGTGTATGAATATTAGATTAAATTGTAGTTTCTTATTCAGTTAATCGAACTAATTTTTTATTATAAATAGATTCATCTGGTTATTGTAAAATTGAATATAAATGTAAATTAATGTCTTTATTATATTTTCTATAAAATCCTTCATTTAATTTTGTCCAATAATCATTACTTGTATCTTAAATATCATGTTTATTAGATTGAGGAAAAAGTGGAGCCAAAATTTAATTCACTTCCTATATTTCTTTCATAAATTGTCTATACTATAAAAATATATTTAAATTTATTACTTTGTTCGAGTATTCCTGATATTATTCTTCAATAAAAGCAGACAATCCAAAATTATTTGTTATTTAGGATAACCATTATGCTATTTTATAAGTTTCCAATAATTTATTATAATCTGATTGTAATTCATATATAAATCCAACTATAAAAAGTGTAACAATAATCCAAGATATAACATTATAAAATTAGTTCTCTAATTTTTTAAGATGATAATCTTGATTAATTATATCTATCAGAATATATTGGCATTCAGTTATGGCATCATAATAATAAGAAATTGCAGGCTTATATAACTTAAATTAAAAATGCAGATGTCCAACTAATAAGTTATATTAAAATTTAATTTTATTGAATCGAGAATCCTTATAATAACAAATTGGCTTCCAATAAAGTACGCATCGAATATCTTCATGTTATTTTGATAATGAAAATATCAGCAATTATATTTAAGAAAATCTATAAAGAATATCCTTCAAATAAAACTTTTCTAATAAATTTCTTATCAATTTTTACTATATTCCATAGCTTAGTTTTCTAACATTTCAACATAAAACATTAAGAATTGTTGTAACTTTCTCAATAAGTGTAATTAACTTTCTTATTTGTTCCCTTCTCGAGAATATGACTTTAGAATCTTTATTAGACATACTATTCCTCTTCTTAGTAATTAAATTCTAATGCGCCATCCTGTTTGCATAATCAATGATCTTTCAAATTCTTTGTTAATTAATCCAAATCCAGCTTTATATTTTCCCTAACCTATTGATTTAATATTGTAAATACGTATAATCTTTGTTATTTCTAAGATTTGATTTTAGAAATGATTTTCTTATATAATCGTTAACTTTTTTGTATGACTTCTCATAATATAAAAATTATAAAATCAAAAAATAGATTATTTTCCAGTCCTTATATTATACATGATATCACATTACTAAAAATCAAAACAATTATTATATATTTCATTTTTAATTTTAAAATCCTTTTCATTTAATAAAATTTCAGACAATTTATAAGAACTAAAAATATTTTTGCATTACTCTTATACTACTACTTTAGAAGTTGCTAATTAATTAAAAAATGTATTAATAAGCTTAAATTATGAATAATTATATTAATATATTATTTTAATGAATTTTTATTTATCATTATAAAAAAATAAAGTGTATAATTTAGAAAAAAGTTAGATTAGTAAAAAGAAAATTGTGAAATAATTTCGAATGAAATTTTATGTTTAATTTTAGTAAGTTATATAAAATAATCATTTATTGTGTAGAGAGTTTTTCAATCTTGAAGTACTGCTATATATATTTTGTTAATTTAAGGAAGTTAAAGTGTTAGCCCTTTCTTATAATGGTTTTGGCTATTAAACATCTACTTAAGAAGTGATTCCATTAGTATTAGTACCACTAAGCATCTAACTAAGAATTTCTTTAGTGTATTTAAGTCTTTTAACCATTTGATTGTTTTCACTTTCTAAAGCAGTGTTCAACATGTAGGTTGATTTAACTAATTCTTTATCAATATAAGTAACGACCTTTAATTGCTAGGTTAAAATAATTTGTGAATTATCATTAAAAATAACTTAGACAGTTTTATCTGATAATCTAAAAATGATAGCATGTTTTGCTTTCATCCATTTTTTAACATAAATTTTTTGCCAAAATTATTGATCAGTTTCACTAACAATTTCATTTTCAATTAAATATCCTTTAAAATGAATCATCAAAGTGGATTTTTTTTACATATCTGGAGTTTATTCTCTAAGAGTTCCTTCTATTTCTTGTCCATTTCTATCAAAATAGATAAATTTGCTAATATAAAAATGATATATATACTCATCATTTAGCATAATCATTTTAGAACAATCATTGAAAAAGACTCCACATTATAAATTATTAAAAACATATCCCAATCCATATTTACTAGAATAATCAACCCTTGAGAATAATGTAAATAAATACCATTTTTTGACATAAATTTATGGTTCTTAAACGACATAATTTTAATTAAGACAGTTTTCAATATTGGAACGAAGAGGAATTCTATCCATACTAGCATATTGAGGACGTTATTTGAGATCAAGAGGACGTTTTTCAGTATTTTCAAATTTAGGTATACTGGTAGATTATTATTTTTGATATTATCTCATATATTATGAAGAAGGAGGACAAGCTAAAGTACTTAAAGGTAATAATTAAGGAATAAGACCATGAAAAAATTCATGATCTTAAATTTCTTAAAGAGTTAATCTTTTGGAGGGTTCAGTGACAAGAATCTTACTTATTAATTATCTTGCAGAATTGCTTATGATACTAGATTCAGGGAATTAATATGCATTCATTTTGATTCTTCTATAAGTAGTTTTTACATCAGTTGTTTCAAAAGGAGGTTTACCAATTAAAAGAGTATATGCAATTACACCAAATGACCATATATCTACTTCAAAACTATGACCATTTTTAGATTCAAGAATTTCAGGTGCAATATAATTAGGAGTTCCACAAACGGTACGTTTTCTTTCACCTTCAAATTCTAATAGAGTAGCTAAACCAAAATCTCCTAATTTGACTTCCATTTTATCAGATAAAAATAGATTTCCTAATTTTAAATCTCTATGAATAACTTTATGCTTATGTAAATATTAAAGTGCAATTAATATTTACATAAGATAACATTAAACTTCAAGTTCAGTTAATCTTTTCCTTCTTTTAAGTAATTCATTCATAGTTTGATTAGTGCATAATTCCAATAATATATAAACATTTTCATCATCTTCAAAATATCTATGGAATCCCACAATATTTTGATGTTAAAGACTTCTATGTATTTTTATTTCTGACATTAATTTTTATCTTGCTCTTGATCGTGTAAGACTTGCCTTGCTAATAATTTTACTAGCAAAAGATTATTCTCCATGTTAAAATTCATAGCATTTAGCAAAGCCTCCCTTACCCAAGAATTTACCTTTAACATATTGACGCACAGTTTTATCCTTACAAATTTCCTCTACAATATCCATTTTTTTTTTAACGATTAAATTTAATATCAGAATTTATAATCATTAGGTCTCACCAACAATGCTTCATGATTCCACTCTTTCATATGTTCTATAACTTAATTTATCATCCCTCTAAATCCTAATTTATGATTATCAGTATTGCTTAAAAACTATCTATACTTTTTATTGTTAGATTCTCCATTAAATAGATTTATTATTGGTTTTACACACATTTGAGTTGATACTTTACAACCATTAGCTCTCTTTTCTTCTATAAACTCTGCATACAACTTTATCATAATTTTAAAAACATACTTCTAATATCTCTTTTCTATTGTAATTTTGATTTTATTCTCCATAATATCGTCTATCAAAATCACTAAATATCCATGGATTCTCATGAGCTGTACGACCAATCATAATTCCATCTACATTTGGTAATACTTATTCAATATGTTCAGTACATTTTATACCCCCATTCAAAGTAAATGTAATTTAAGGAAATTCTTTCTTTAATTAATAAACTAATTTAAATGTTCTTTAATACCCCATTCGTATTTTAAAGGGGGAACTGTTCTATTTTCATGTGGATTCAAACCTTTTAAAAATGCTTTACGAGCATGCATTATAAAATGTTTCACTTCTCCTTCTTTATGGACTATTTCTATAAAATCTCTAACAAATTCATATGTGTCCAAATTATCAACTCCAAGTCTACATTTCACCGTACATGGTATTTTTACAGCTTCTTTCATTCTTTTCATACATTTAGCAACTAAATGTGGCTCTTTCATTAAACAAGCACCAAATGCTCCATCTTATACTCTTTCAGAAGGACATCCTACATTAAGATTAATTTCATCATAGCCTGCTAATTCTGCTATTTAAGCAGCTTTTGCCAATTTTTCTGGATCATTACCTCCCAACTAACAAACAACTGGATGTTCAACTTAAGAATAGTCTAATACTAGTGGAAATGGTTTTAAAACTCGACTTAAATTTATAGCATTTTCATGAATCATCTCTGTATATAGTACACAATTCTTTGTTAGAAGTCGAAAGAACACTCTAAAGTGTTCATAAGTAATATCGATCATAGGTGCAATAGAAATTTTATGTTTGAATGCTTACTCCATAAATAATTTAATAATGTAATCTATTCGTAAATAGCGCATGAATAAAATCATGTAAGTTTAAGGAGAAGTTGGTTAACATAAAGGTTATAAAGCTATAAAAATTGTATCAAATGCTCATGAACTACTTAGAAAGAGTAAATCACTAACAAATTTCATTGGTGAACTAGCAATTCAAGATGTAAGTAAAAAACTGCTTCAAGATTAATTCAACTCTATCAAAAGTTATGACATTCCAAAATGTGAAGATAAACCAGGTATTCAATTCAAATCAGTTCACAGCATGTATGACCTTTAAGCATTAAAAATGACAAAGTTATACAAAAAAAATGAAAGAAATGAGATTGAAAAGTAAGTTAGATCACAATTAGCTAAAGAGCCAGATAAATAATTACTTCTATCTGAAATATATGAACAATTGGAAGACAATTCTGATGGTGAAGTTCTTAAAAAGAAATAAAAGATTAAAGAAGAATCATTAGCTACTCAGTCTAAAGAATATGATGATTCTAAAGATCAATTAACTGATCTCAAATAATGGACAAAAAAAATGAAGGAATAAAAGAAGAAGTTATAAAATAAAAAAGAAGAAAATGAAGTAGTAATACCTTCAAGAAGTAAAGAAAGAGCTTAAACTGAAATAAAAAAACCTTTAGTACGTTAATAAGGAACAAGACATTTATAAATTAATAAATCTAATTCCCCTACTAATTCTTAAGATACCCCTAAATCTTATAAGGATATTATGAAAAATGCAATATCTAAAGCTAAATAACTTAAAAGCTTAAGTCAAGATTTAAGTGTTGAGAGATCTATTGAATAATATCTTTAAAAAGCCTCTACAGTAGCATTAAATGAATTAAAAGAGATCGGAGAATTAAATGTTGATGAAGAATAAGGTCTTTCAACTAATTTCGATTTTACGAATGAAGATATTTAAAGAATGTACAATACCCTTATAAAAGTATAAATGTCTTAATTTAAATCAGAAGCAGAAAAAGCTAAATTTTATAAAAAATAAACTTAATTAATAGCAAATAAGTTAATTTAAAAAGTTAAACAAAATGAATCAATTATTGATGCAAGAGTTACAGCTTAAGAAAAACTTAGATTAGAAACTCATGATTTTTATGATAAAATTACTTAAATCAAATAGTTATCATAATAATTGCAACAAGAAATTCAAGATATGAAAGATCCAAAATTATCAAATGGTATATAAATGAATAAATCTCGTATGTCTTTAGTCAACTAATTAATGAGTTAATAAAATAAAGAAAAAGAATTATTATAAGATTTACATGTTTTAAAAGAGAGTCGTATAGCATATAAGCACAAAATAGTTTTTAATAAGAGAACTTTAGAATAAATAGATTAGGATATTTAAATTAAAAAAAAGGAAAATAAAAATTTAAAAAAATGTCTTATCAATTTCTATTTTTAAGTTTTAAAAAATGGTTAAGATGTTAGAAACACAGGAATAGCATGGGTAATATCAAGATTAAATTCTTTAAATGAGAAATCTACAAATCAAAGTTTTCCAGAATATTTAGACTAAAAAGCAAAAGAATATTTACTATAAGTATAATTAATATATAATAAAGAAAGCAACTATGTTATAAGAAATAGAACAGTTAGAAAAAGAATTAAGTGAATCCTTTAAATAATATAAATAAGAATAATCCCTCGATAATAGTTTAGCAATTTTACAGCAAAGCATATCTCATAATGATTCTTTAGAGATATCATCCTTACCTTCTATATTTCCTTATGATAGTAATAAAATATCAGCCATAGATCTGACATAGGCAAGATAAGAAGCAACTAAAAGTAGTCGAAATACTTATTAACTTGATAAATTAGGTCCAATCACTTTAGGTTTAACAAATGAAGATCTTGAGAACTTAGAAAATATGTTAGCAAGATTAAATTAAAAAAATTTACCTATAACAAATGGGACTCTTATTTATAGAGAAACTCAAAAAAAAATAAAGCAGCATCTAAAATAATAAGGATCTATGGATGTTTCTCAAATTAATGATTCATCAACTATATTAAAAGAATAAGCGATACATTCTTATGATAAATGCAATTCTTAATTAAATAAGATAAAAATAAAAGTATATCTTAAAATAAATAAAGCTTTTACATTTAGATGATGAATAGGTAACTAGAATAATGAAAGAATTTGACTATAAAAATTATAGTAAACGATTTAGCATAGATCCAATAACTGTAATATCTTGTTTAGTTGGAGGAGCAAGATGTGATAGAGAGATTGTTAAATAAGGAATGAAGAAAACTCATTATGATTGAAATAGAGTACTTGATTACATTTAATTTTAATTAAATAAATTAATCATAAATTTACGTATAGAAAATTATTATGAAAATTGATTCAGCTCCATAATTCATCATCTAATTTTTATTTAACCCTCTTTTATTAAGGAATAAGTTAATTACTAGATTTGGAAGGTTTGGAAATCAATTTGCTTATAATTTCTTAATTTTTTTAATTAGGGGATTCATATTAAATTTTTTAAAGTTGTTTTTTAGGAGATCCCTCTTTTTCTGATAATATAATTTATAGTTTTTATAACTCTTAAGCTACCATAGATAGAGAATTTCCATTAGCCGGCTTAGTTAGTTAGGCAAGAATAATATCAACAGATTCTATAATAATTAAATAATATATACTTTTTGCTTAGTCAATGGTATTATCATTTTCATATTTTTATACCTGATTTTAAAGAGAGGTAACTTCTTTTTTATATCTTTCTTGATCCATTCTACTTATTTTCAAATCTAATTATAATTTATTATTGATTTCTATTTAATTTTTCAATTCATATTGAGACACAGCTTCAGATGGGTGATGATTAATTGATTATTATGGTAATGTTTAAATATAACTGTTTGAAGAAGGATCAGCTACTAATAACATTTTAGATGATGGCATTTCTGCCAAGAGCAATTACTATTTTGTATTGATTGTTGTTTAATTTGAATTTATAACAAAATTAGTTGGAATTTCTAAATTATTTTATTTAATAATATCTTCTAATTATTCTACTCTTGATTATTTAGTTTATATTATATCTTCTAATTCTTTTTATAATTTTTCATAAGCATCTAATTCTTCCTGTAATTATAAAATTGTTTCATCTCTTTCATTAAGTCTATTAGTTAAAGCAATCATGATATCTCTTTATTTTAATAATAATTATTTATATTTATCTGTCTATGCTTTATCTTCTTCAATATTTTATCTCTCTTTTTCTAATTCTTGCAATTTCTCTTAATATTATTCTCTAATCAATTTTTGTTATTTTTCTAAAGCATTTTAAAATTATGGAGTTTCTTCTATTTTTTATCCTCCAACAAGCATCTAAGAATTCAAAGCTGAAATCTTCTCTTCCAATTATTTTCTCAATTATCTCTCTTAATCTAAATCTTTGCTTCTTTATTCATATGCACTTTAGACTTCTTATTTATCTTCTAATGCTTTTTACCTTTCTCTTTCTAATTCTGAGACATTACCATCTAAAGGTAGTTTAGTTCTTTCATCTAATTCTTATTTTAATTTTTATATTTCTAATTAATATTTTCTAAGTAATGCTCCTTGATCTTGATCTTAATTAACCATAGGTGTATTTTTTATATTTTTAGCTCTATTTGCAAATTTTAAAGTAGATAAAGATTCATTGAATGCATCAATAGCGGGAGATATCATAGCCATAAATGTAGTTTTACAGTTTCCTCCTAATGAATCTTCTAATAATCTTGTTATTTTAGAATCTCTATATGGAATATGTGATTTTGGTTATTTTGCTTCAGTTAATGCAGAAATGACATTTCCTAAAGCAGAAAGAGATTAATTTATTTTTTTTGATTCTTCTAAACGAATGCCTGTAGCTCCTGTTACTCTTACTCTTTCACTACCAGCTAAATCTACTAAATTTAATTTTCCAACTCTTGCTCTTTTACCTTCAATTGTTTCTTCTATTTACTCAACTGTAATTATAAAAACAGCATGACTTCTTGATGATGTATCATTCATTCTGGTGCTTGCAGTAACTCTTTTAGCATTACCTCTTCGCATTAATTAATAGATTTCAGGTGGAGAACGAACAGCCCATTCTGATAAATTTTCAACAAAGACTCCTCTTTTTTTATCTTCTCTTATATTTAACTATTAATGATCAGGTCTAAGAAGGTCGCTAATAGATTCATTATAAATTTATAAATATGATGCTCTAACCATGAATGTAGTACTAGAATTAGATTTCATTTAAATGTGGGTAAAAATACTATGGAGGGATCGAGGAATGATTCCTAGTTAATCAGAATTGGGAGTAAAAGAAAATCCATGCATTGTGTAAGTTTTTCCAGTTCCGGTCTAACCATAAGCCATAATGGTGGAATTATATCCCTTGGATAGGTATTCCATAGAGTACTTAGAGTGTAGAATCGACAGATAGGGCAGCAGTGGTCTCATAGACTTCAACCTAAGTGCTCTCTTGATCATAAACATAATCAAATGTAAATTAATGGATGGTATAATTGGCTGGATTTTAAACAAAAGCTTCTAGATCTTCATCAGGAACCATTTCGATAGCATGATAATCAAAGATACATAATTATTAATGGTCTGGGGCTGCTTAAACCTTTTGATTTAAGTAACAATATACTTACAGTTGATATAAATTTGCCATCTTTGATTTCTCTCGCCATAGGGGGTCTAACCCTTATGACAACTCTAAGATTTTCATTTGAACCGTCTTTATCTCTTGGTTTCATTTTTATGTCTTAGCAATAATAAATAATAAAAAATAAACAATATTTAAAACTTAATCATTACAAGAAGTCTAACAAATAAGTCAAGATAGCTTAATTACAAAAAATTTATAATATCATAATTATTTTTAAATTTCATTTATTCTTTTGTAATATCTTTTTACTTAGAAAGTATCCTCCTGTCAATGTAAAAGCCAGGAGTGAAATAACACTAAATACTTCAAGAATTGGTAAGCCATTTTATTTTTTCAACTATTGAATCTGAAAGTCGGAATAACCAAAGGGACTAAAAGCTTTAGTAACAAATAGTATACTTTTGATGCAAAATTTCGTTTACTTTATTAATTTAGGTCCAAAATGGTACTTGATCATCATATGAAAAAATTGGAATGAGTTGAGCAGTTTCAAAGTTGCAATTTTAATCAATAAGTAAAAAGTCTATAATGCTCAATCTTCTCTTTTCTATTTATTATTCAGCTTCCATCTCATCATATAGACTTATAGCATAAGTCTTATTTTAAATAGTTGTAATAATGAGTGGGAGGTTGGCAAATTATTTTTCAAGTTGACCCTTTGAGATAAGAAAAAATTTACATGTTTAATTCTGGTGACGATGGCAATATGAAATACTTTTCTATCAATATTTTTTTAAACAGAAGACCAAGAATCCTTTCTATTTTATTCTTTAAAAGTATCAGATAGTTTAATTTCGATTCCAATATAACACAACAGCTTATAGGCTTCTTTGTAATTAAAGAAGGAAAAGGCACTTGGATATCATGATTTGAATACTTCCACATTGCCAACCATTGGTTTAAGGTTATATCTTATTCCTATGGATAATATTAATTTAGATGAGGAAAATTAGTTCTACACATCACTGGATAAAATATATCATCAAATTATTTTTGATTGATAGTATTGCCCTTTTATGATTGTGAATTGGATCTGATTTCGAATATTTATCTCAATTTAGATAAAGCAATCTCACTCAATTCTACAGTTTGACCAGCATCCTAATCAAATATTAATCTAATTGCTTTTAAATTAATACTCATTTGTAAACATACTTTCATCTAATGTTAAATCATCTCTATATCTAAAAAAACGTAATATAGTCCAACAGATTTAAATCTTCATTAATTCTATTCCTCTTTTTTATAATGCTATAAATCCTTCTAAAGTAATCACTCTTTTATTTGAATTATCATGTAATTCTTCTTCTATCATATCTTTTATTCCAGCAATATCGCTATAATCTAATTGTCTCTTAAACACTTTTTTTTAAAACTTTTCTAATTCTGTATCACTCCATACTCCATCTCCATCTCTATCACAAATTCTAAAAATTCTGGTTAATGCTTTCCTAAATCCTTCTGTTAATGATTTATCTGCAATACTATATATTGGAGCTAAAGGATAAAGAAATGATCTCTAAGCACAATTTATTACATCATATATTCCCTACTTTTTTGAAGATGAACATTCTATTCCCATTTCAACTGACTATATTAATTCAATTTAATACGTTGAAGTCTTTCACTAATTGTTTAATAACTTTGAAAATCCTATGATAATCTTTATCTTCTTCCTAACCTAATAAATCTAGTTTGTTTCCTACTATTATTACAGGTTATTTATATCCTTTTTCTCTTAATTCCTTTAACCAAAATCTCTTTAATCTTTCACTTGATCCATCATCATTAATTGCGTACATTAACAGAATTACATCAGCAACTTAAACCTCTTCAGGTAATTAATGTGGAGCACATTTAGTATCGATCAAAGTAGTTATACATTCAGGATGATTAAGCACATCTAATGGTATATTTATTGGTGGATGCTTCTCTTATACACATTCTTTGTTTGAAATTTAATTTATTATTGCTGATACAAATGACGATTTACCAACACCACCTTATATTTATCAAATTTCTTACTATCTCCTATTACTACAAGTTTGAAATCTCTTTTCTTCATTTTTATTTATATATATAATTATCAATTTACAATTATACCTAATTAATTTGTATTTGTGGTTCACTTTATTCAAAAAAATAATGCCTTATTATAAATTAACTGTATTTTCTATAATTCTCATTTATAAAAATTCTCAAAATCTTAATATAATTCTACTATTATATCATTTATTTCTATAGTTTTCCATAATTTACTCTACATACTAAGAATCTATATTCTTTATCTGACCAATCCTTTAATATTAATAACTATAAAAAATACAAGATAAAATTAAATACAAACTTTTAAAATTATTTTTTATGTTTATTATACTAAATCTTAAATTTTGTTAATTGAATACAAAAATAGTTTTTCATCACCATTTTAAAATTATATTCAATTTTTGAATTTATTTTTACTCATATGGTACTAATATTCAATAACAATTTAACTCACTAATTCCTTAATTTTCACAATACTTTATATGATTTTCTTAGATATAAAATTATGATTAATAATATGATAATAAAAAACAACGAATAAAGAGCATCAATAATTAAATCAAATATAACATTAGTTAGTCCAGTTAGAAAGTAATTAAGATTTTACTTCTATTTAGATCCTCATCTATATTTTTAACAACATCTAATTAGAATATAATGAGCTTTAAAGAAATCAGTCCTAAATAATAAGAGTTGAATCGCGTTCTCAATTTTAATATAAATCACTCATAATCTGCTAATTCATCCATGTACTCTATTGAATAGGCCCCTAACTAAAATAAAATCAAAAATAGAGTAAATTTAGTAGATATAAGTTCAAAATTTCTGTAACTTGATGAAGAAATAATAGAAGTTTATAATGAATTTGAAAAAAATTATAGATCTATTAATTAGTTAGAGAAATTAGAACCCATTTCTTATTAGACTAATTAATATTTAGAGGTAAAACGTAAAAGCAAAAATTAATTAATTCAAACTCAAGATGATTTAATACAGTCAGATTTGATGCATGGAGATTAGAATAGAATTAAAATAAATCGTTTTAAATTCAATTATTATAGAATGAAACTGAGAGGTAAAGTATCACCAATACATGTATTCTTTAATATTCCAGATAGAGTTTAAACATCTTCTCTTAAAATATTTTTATCAACAAAAGCAGAATTTCCTACAAAATTTAATGCTGAATACAATATTCATTCTAGATTTGCAAAAATCTATTCAGAAAAAAATTAACACTATTTTAGTGAAGAATATTTATTTATCACTCTCTATTCTGAAGTTGATTTTGAATTCTCTATCAGCTTTTCGTTTGGTAATTCATCAACTATTAAATCTCCTATTAAATAATAACTTGAACCTTCTGAAGAAATTTAAGATACTTTCCCACTAACTCATAAAATTCAACCCAAAGATAAGATAATAGGTAATCTTTAAGTAGCACATCATTAAGTAAGCCATAGATTGAATAAGATTCTTTCAGTATAATCAGAAAGATTACAAAAATAAAAAATGGCTAAATCTATGAGATAGTCTCTAATCGAAGATAAATAATTAGATAAAATATCAAAATTATTAGTAAAGGATTAAATAATTCAATTTAGAGAAATTGAAAAATAAATTAAGTAAAAAAGAGCTCTTGTATAATTTGCTTAAAAAAACTGGATACAAATTTTTGGTTTATTTTTAATTACTGAATACATATTTTCTTGTTTATAAGAGTAAAGAAGAAAGTAAAAAATTGCTGCCAAAGGAAAACTTTTAGTTTGGGCATTAAAAACAAAAGCATTAATAGATGTTAAAGAATATGGTGTCAATGCAAAAGAGAGGACAATATTTAAATGTAGATGTGTTATGAATAGTTTTGCTAATATAATTAGATCAAAAACAAAATATAAAGCAGAATTTGTAATAACTAAATTTATGGATAGAATTCTTCTTTTTCTTACAATCTTAAATAAACATTAAAGCACACTTAATAAAGGTAGACAAATTTATAATTTTTTATTTTAGTTATATTTATTTAGAGGAAGTTTCGTCTTCTCAAAACTAAAAAGAGATAGTTTAAAGATAAGTTTTGGAAATTAATTAAAGAAAATATTGCTGATATCCTTTTTGATTTAAGAAGATAAAAAGAAAACCAATTCTTTTTTGAAAAGCAACAAGTAATAATTGATGTGTAAGTTGAAATCCTGTAACTTTAGCCCAACAATGAATTAAGTGATTGACGAATACAATAAAAAATAAAGAGTACTTTGGATCGAATATATTTAGCATACATATTTAGAAAAGGATTAAAAAAGAGTAATGTAAATTATTAACTAGAAAATCCATGAAACTGCACTAAACCTAAAAGAACCTAAAATCTATGACTTGCCAAATAGAAATGAACTTAGTCTACTTATAGAATAATATGCCAAATTGAAAAAATTACTTTGATTATAAAATTTATTTTATAATTACTATATTTACAAAAAACTAGATCCAACTTTAATGAGATTCACACACAAAAGGATATTGAATAAATAATTAAATTAAAATAGAAGCTAAGTCTAAAAATATCTTCATTTCTAAGTTGACAATTAAGTCATTAATAAGAAGAGAAAGTGATTTTCGTGTCTTAGTAAATTTAATCCATAATTAAATTAATTGATATGACTATAAGTAGAAATTTTAAAATTATTTTTAAACATAAAGTTCAATTTTTTTATCGATTTCGTTATGAATCATAATTAAGATTTAAAATGAATAAAAAAAATCATCCTAAAATTTATTAAAATTAATATAATTGATTAAATAAACTTTTTTTAAAGTTGAAATTTAGAAACATTAACTTTCAATATGATTAATCTGATTTTTGTTATCAAAATAATATTATTTAGATGAAATCATTAAATTGAAAAGCGAAATGTTTAAAGCACAATTTTAAATAAAATAGAATTGAATTCTAATTAATTTAAAGAATTTATTGTTGATTTTATCTATAATCAATTAGACTACAATATTAATTATAATAGTTAAGTTTTATTTAAAAGATCTTAATAATAATAATTAATTAAAAATAATAAAATGAGCAATAAGAATGTAGATATTTTATTTAATCCTTTATAACTTGGGGAGATTTTAATTAATAATAGAATAATCATGTCTTCTTTAACTAGAATGAGATGTGATAAAATAACTAAAGCTCCAAATAATTTAGTGGCTGAATATTATTCTTAAAGAGCTTCTGCAGGTATGATCATAACAGAAAGTACATTTGTAAGTGAGAGATCTTACAGTTGGCCTGGTTGTCCTGGAATAATGGATTAGACATAAGTGGAAGGTTGGAAAAAAGTCATAGAAGCAGTCCATGATAAAAAAGGGAAAATTTCATTATAGATTTGGCATAGTGGTCGTGCTACTCATTCCTAATTGTAATAAGGGCTTTAACCATGGGCACCATCTGCTATAGCTATAAATGGTCCAAATGATATTTTGAATATTCCACACGAGATTCCTCATGAAATGAATTTAGATGAAATCTAATTAGTTATAAATTAATTTAAGAAAGGAGCATATTTAGCTAAAGAAGCAGGTTTTGATGCTTTAGAATTACACGGAGCAAATGGTTATTTGATTGATTAATTTTTAAAAAGTAATAGTAATAAAAGAAAGGATTCATATGGAGGTTGTATTTAAAATAGATGTAAATTCTGTTTGGAAGTGATAGATGAGTTAATTTCTATTTTTGGAAAAGGAAGAGTAGGTATCAAGGTATCTCCAATTGGTAGATTTAATGATATGTATGATGAGGATCCTATTGAACTTTATACTTATTTATTTTAAGAATTAGATAAAAGATAGATTGCATTCATAGAACTGATGAATGATAAGGATGAGGAAAATGCTTATAATTATGGATTACCATCATCATAATCTTAAACCTAGAATTTATATGAGAAATTAAGAAAATCCTTTACAGGTGTTATAATTGGAAATGTTGGATTAAATGCAGAATCAGCTGCTGAATTAATACGAAATGGATTAATTAATGCTGTTAGTTTTGGTATTCCTTATGTTTCTAGTATATTATTTTAACAAAATAGACCCTGATCTAGTAGAAAGGATAAAATTTGATTTACCTCATACATAAGCAAATCCAGATACATTTTTTTAAGGAGATTAAATTGGATATACTGATTATCTTCCATTTTAAAAATGATTAAATATATTCAGGCCTTTTTAGTTTAACAATTTTCAAATTTATAATATAAAAATTATAAATATTATAATTATAATTAGAATTTAAGAATATAGAGTCTTTATTTCTGAAGCTAGTATTTGTTCAATTATTTTGTCTTTAATTCTATGAATTTTATATATAGTAAGAAATTCTTAATTGATTCTTTATATCCCCTCAATTCTTAAAGCTTTATTTTTAATTGGTTCTTATTTTTATTTCTTGAAAGGTTGGTCTCATCAATTATTTAATATATAGATTAATAAATATCATTAGTTTGATAACAAGAAGTTGAATAATTTTGGGCTAACACAAAATTGAACAAGTATTTTAATATCATAGAAATTTTAAAATAATCATTTTTTTTCTTAAGGAGCAGGCTATTGTTTATTTCTTTCTTATTGTTCACAAATGGCTAAGTGAATTTTCCAATTCAAACCAATAGCTTTAAAACATAATGGGCATGTATCTCCTTAAGAAGAATTACAATTTTTTTTATTCTAATGTTCAGCTAATTGATTTTCAAGTACTGCACATCCACATCTATTATTCAAATATAATAAAAGTTTACGTTTCACATTATCTATAATTTTTAGCAAATTCACATTCTTCAAAGTGATGATTAGTTAATTGAGAGACTTCTACAACTTAAGCACATGATAAACAAGTTGTTAACATAACGCATTCTTTCCATAAATGCATATCGAGTTTTTAACTTTAGATAAACTCCTTATTTTCAATACCACAAAATTCACAAGCTTAAGTTATTTATTAAAATATTTAATCAGGATTATTTTAATGTTATTTCTTTTTTGGCTATTATTTTTTTTCTTATTCAAAAGATGTTTATACATTACCTCCATTATCTATTTTATAAAATAATTCTTCTAAGATTTATTATTGAGCAGGTCTAATACCTTTTAAACTTTCTCTAACTTTATCTCCCTAATTTTTATAAACCTCAGTAATTATATAAATAGCACATGTTCTGACTTATTCAGCAGAATGATCTAAATATTTAATTGCAACATCCATAACAGGATTATAAGGAACCCTTTCATTATTGATTTTATATTTTTAGATTAAGTTATATATGAGCATTAATCTAGCTTAAATATGTCTAACTGATGATAATTATAAATTCGGTTTAGTAGTTATTCCTTTGACTAAATGATTAATAACTCCAGCACTTCCCATAATCTAAGTTTCAGCAAGTGTTAATAAAATTTTTTTGCATTCTTCTTTATGTCTTTCATTAATATCACCCATTTTCTCCATCAAAATCTAATTATAAAAAAATATATTTACTAAGACAATGTTATCTAAAATAATAGGACTTTCATCGTTTAATTTATTTGGTTTCAATTTCAATAAAGTTTGCTACATCAACTAAAGACTTGCATAAACAACTTTGTCTGCTTTATCTTAAATGCCTTTATAAATTAATAATAAAGTAGCTTAAAATGCTCCATCAATATTAGAAAGATTTATTTAAGTTGGATTATTAAATTATTCAATTAACCATCTAATACCTTCTTCTCTTCTCGCCCAATTCTTGGAAAAGTAATTCTTACAGAATTCTAATCCATAATAAGGTTTAATGGCCTCTACTTATTTTTAATTTTCTGAACTCATCTCTTCAATTTATTGTTTGCTTTTATCTACTTCAGAATATTCTTCCAAAACTTAATTATTATTGTTCTATTTATTTTTTAAAGCTGGAATAACCATCTCATCATAATTTAATAATTTATCATTTTTAAGTTATTATTCAAAAGAAGTAGGTTATTAATAACTTATATTTGCATTTTCATTTTGATTATTTGTAATATGAGTAATATTATTGTTATTATTTAATTACTCAATTAGATAATTTTATTCTTCTTAAGGCATTCTTTCAAAACTATCTTCAATGATTTTATTATTATCTATTTATTTAATTGAAGGTTTAGAATTTCTTCTATCTTCATAATTATCTGTCTGTTCTCCTAATTCAGATTATCTAATTTTGTCAATATTTGGTTTATATTCATTCCCTTGTTCATCTATAAGTCCATTTTCAATTTTAAGTTTTTGTATTTAATCTTTGATAGATTCTGCTTAATCATAATCTTCATTTTATAAAACTTCTTTTTTTCTTTCTTCCAAATCTCTTAATTGTACTCCTAAAGATCTAAGTTAAGTAATTCTATTTTTAAGTTTTTTTGCTTCCTAATAGTTTTCCTATTTGATTGCATAATCTTTGGACTCTCATATTAAGGAATAATTTACATGTTCAAGTGCTATAATATGTGCCAATAATTTAGTGTCAATCAATTTATCTTATTGTGGATTATATAATTCATCTAAAACCTTATCTTAAACTTTATTTGTTTTCTTAGGTGGGGGAAGTTCTGCTTTTTCACCATAAATTCTAATTGCTACTATACCAACTTAATTAAATGGATTAAACTTATTCTCATGATTACGATGCACTAATAGTTTTAGATAGTTGCAATTAGCTTCATCTATTGATACTGTTTTGAGCTCTCTAGCTTACCAATTTGATTGTTCGTTGGAATGAAATGTAAAATAACCTATCTTTTTAAAACTTGCATTTTCTAAATCCATTCTTCCTTATAATCGACCTATAAAAACTTCTATTTTAGAAGGTATTTTCTTTTCGTGAGATAGTATTTACATTTTTTGAACTGTTATTGCAGATTAGAATTACAATATTAACTCTTATGGATATTAACAAAACCTACAGCTTTGCCATCCCAAAGGAGTTGATGATATTTCTAATAAATTTGATGGTGGAAATTATGCATCTTAACTTTATGCATAAGGTATTGTAAATGTTATGAATCTAGTATTTTTAGGCTAATTCATTTAATAATTATTTATATTCATATTCGATCTAATCTTTCTATTTCTTTTATTCTTATCAAATCCTCTTCTTCTATAATCTTCTTCTATAATTAACATTGATTAGGCAATATCTATGTAAAATAAAAATATTCTGCTTTCTTTTTTATTTATTTTATCAAAGCCTCATCTTTCTTAACTATAATTTCTCTATTTCCTTTTTTTGTAGAAACTATAAAAATACAACCAGGTAATTCTGTTATTAATAAGTATACTTATACTTAATAATAATACTAATGATTCTTTTTTAAAATATATTCCTTATCTTCATTCATCTCTATATAATTTAATCTAAAATTTTCATCTTCATTTAAATCAAGGTCTTGTTTCAAAAAAGGAGATTTTACTTCTATTATTCCTATTAGATTATCATGATTATCATAAATTAATGCATCAGGTTTTCCACATATATATGGATAATTTAAATTTATTAAAACATCTGTAAATTTCAATTTAATATCTGGATGCTAACTAGCATATTTTTCTAAAGCAACTTTTTCATGTTCTTAACCATATTATGTTGCTTCATTTAAAAAATTATCATCTTAATTCCATTTTTCATATAAGCATACATCGTACATCTTAGTTGCTGTCAATCTAAGTCCTGACTATTTTTTTTCATGATAATTTTAAATTTCTATTATTTAATTTGTAATTTTATTTCCATCTTTTGGAAATAAATTATTTTAAAAAAAACCTTTTATTTTTGTCAAATCTTCGTCAGGCATCCTTTTTCTATCTAATAAATTAGTTTTATATAGATATTTTACTACTGTATAATTATTCTAATCCTAATCTAATTAAGAAGATTAATAATTTCCATTTTTTAATAAACATACCTGTGTTATTTACTCAATAGAAACATATAAAAATGTTTCAAATAATTGTTTTATTTCATTGCTCACTCCATCATTTAAATCTAACTTCTATTCCACTATTTTTTGCATTATCTATATATTTTATTTGTTTTCCTCAAAGAAATCAATTTAATCCTTCGCCACAACATGATTCATCATATTTTTAAGAAAGTTTTAAATGAATAAATCTCTATATTTTGATTTCTGAATTTAGTTTAAAATATATTTAGGTACTATAATTTCCTATGTTTTTATATCTATGAATAATTAATCTAATGAGAGACTACAAAATATTTCTTATTCATCAATAGGCTTAATTTCTGAAAATATCTATTAAAGCCTTTAGTTAAAATTATTGAGACATTAAACTTTGTATGAAGATAGTTTAATTAATTATTATAACTCAAATTGTGTGATTTCTATTTCTACAGATCCTCCATCAATATGAATAAAGCATAAATGCTACTCTTAATCTTAAGCATAGAAACAATACTCTTGTAAATTTATCTGATCAATCTGTTTGAATATTGAAAATTATTTGAAAAGTAATTACATTTAAATATTCTTAGTTAATAATTAATTACTATTCTATTAATAAAATTATATGTTATGAATCAAGAAAAAATGAATGAATACTACTAATCATAATCTTAATTTATATTCCATATTTGAATAAGCCCGAGTTCTTAATTAAAATCTATTTGATCTCTCTACTCATCTAATAAAATAAACTCACAATGCTCTATCATACTATAATATTATTTTATTAAACAATTCTATAGTGATATATAAATTTCAAGAGTTATTTTATTAATATCAAAAACCACAGAATTTATAAATGGTAATTGAATTAAATAATCAGTTTATTTGTCTATAGAAATGTTAATATTTAAATAGAATTTAATGTTTTACGAAAAATCACTTTCTAGATCTTTAAAAGCTATATTAAATATAAATGATTAATTGTTGATTTATTGATATCCCTGTCTTTAAATTTAATAGAGTTTTGATTAATTTTTCAAGTATATAAAATCTTCCCTCAAATAAAATGGAAAATAAAAATAATTCTATTTTAAAATAAAAGCACTTGTGTTTTCTGGAATTAATAAAGATGCTAAATTGTATTAAACAACCTCTTAATTAATTATTAAATAAAAGTATTAGGGATCCAAAAAAAACGGAATGTATGACTATTCTAATTTAAATTCAATCGAGTCTATCATGAAACTACTAATGATGTTGTATTATTTATTATTTTTAATTGATTCTTCTTCTATTTTATTTAAAAAGCATTTGTGAATTTCTATAGTTTCTAAGTATTAGTTTATTCTTATAATCAATACAATTTTTTAGACTGAAAATACTATAAGATCCTCTATGAAATCAAGATGGGTTAATTTTCTTCCAAGATTGTAATTAGTAAAAAATTTTATCTTTTTTTTCACATAATGATGATCATTTATAATTTTTATATCATAAATCTTGGCAATCTTGTCGTAGATATTAATTTCTATTTGAGATTTTATAGGCATATTCGCAAATTAATTAATAAAATTATATACTACTTTTATTATCTCAAAATTTCAAACGATTTTACTATCAGTAATAGGTAATTTAAATTTTGAAACCATTTTTTATTTAAGAAAAAAATTTCATATGGGATTCATAGAATCATTGAATGCCAAGTGGTTTGAAAAGATGGGACATTCATACTTCTTATTATTTTGATTAAGTTTAAATAAATCAAAAACTTCAAATTATTATTTGAAACATAATATTTTTTATATTTTTTTTAATGAATTAAAATTAATAAGAAAACTATATGTATGTATAAATGTAGAATTAGTAACCTTAAAATATACAATATAGTAGTTAATAAAACTATTAATAACAACAATATCAATAACAATAATAATATTGTTTATCATAAGAATTGACAAATTAAATGTATTATTAATAATAATACCCTGATGGAGCAGGAAGGTTAATTATCATTGATTAAACTTAATCTGCTGGATATAGACCAAGCTAATTTCTAACTTTTTTCTTAATAACGTTAACAATTGCTCTTTGTATAGGTGTAATAGTTTGGATGTGCCTGGATTGATCAATATTGAATTATTAATAAAAATTAACTAATTATATTATAATTCTAATTTATATGTTAAATCAATGAATATAAGAAAAACTAACGAACCCTTAAAATTCTCAATCAAAACTATAATAATTAATATATATTTTTTTAAATAAAATGATAAAAATTCTTATTTATGATTAAATTAGAAATAGAAATAATCCTGAATAATAAAGCCACCTTAATTATTCAAATTATTTCAATCCTTTTAGTAATCTTATACGTTATTGGATTTAGATTTTCATTAATAAAAACTTTAAAGTGATTAAAAATTTTTACATAAATGAATAAATTATTCAATTAATATTTTTTACTACGATATATAAGTTTATTATATGCCAGATAATTTAGAAAGAATAATTAAAGTACTAGAGTCTTTAAATGTTAACCTGTCGCAATTCTTGGACAAATTTACTAACTTTTTTTCAATAGAATTATTTATATTTTTCTATTTAATATAATGTTATAATAAATTTCAATCTGATTATAACCATCTTGTTATTTATTCTTAGTTCTTCCCTTTTAACTAATAGATAAATGTATTTACCAGCTAAATAAAAGAGTATTATTTTCATTATAAGATCGACTAGAGCATTATACATTAAATATTCAGCTAAGCAAGCTAAATCCTATAGTTGCTACCTTTTAAGAGTATGCATCAAAGTATAATCCCTCTCTGATATTATATCTAAGTTTAAAATAGTATTACTTTCTAATTTCTTTGAAAAGCAGAAAACTTATTCTTATTATTGTTAGTTTTATATTATTTCATCATTTTTATGTATATCAATATATTCTTAAAGAATTTTATAAATATCTGGATTAAACTATTGGTTAGGGTGGAAGTAAAAAATTTTTTCATCAATTCCTTAATTTTACACAGCATTTTTTACAGGTTCTAATTATTTCATTATCCTTTCATTGATCTAATTTTAATTTGATAATTACAATGATTTCTTCTTCTGTATTATTTGAGTTTTAGAATTTGAGAATATAGATCTGTTCTTATTAAATAATATTTTTCTACCCTTCTTCTTAATACATTTTTTAATATTGGAATTATTAATTATAATTTTAAATATTTTTTTTTGCGATTAGATTATTGTTAGTGAATTAAAAATAAAAAAAATGTTAGAAGCACATATTATTGAATATTAAAAATTCATTTATTTTTTTTATTTGATCCTCCATCATTTTTAAATATATAACATTGTGGGTTGTCTTCATCAGGATCATGATATACAAATTGATCTTCTTCAAGGCCTTTTATCTTCTCTTCAGCATCTTTTTCTAAATTATTTTATTTTATAAGTTCATCAGTGTATTAAACTACTTTATTTTCATATTTATCTTTTTCATATTTATACTCTGCCATCAATCTTCTTATCTAATAAAATAAATTAATCTATTACATTAATAACATTGACTTTTTACAAATCAGGATGATAATCACCTTGATTATCATCGTGTATGTGTATTTCATTTTTTGAGTCATTTTCTGGATTTCCAGGTTTTAATTAATTTGGATCACATCCATATTTCTTTAATAAATTTTCTAAATATATTATATGTATTTTAAGTTCATATATTTACTTCTCTAATTTTATATAATACTCTTTTTCATTACTTTAAGGTTAAGGTTCTTCTTTATTTTTGGTAGGAGTCTTTTGTTTTTAATCATTAATTTATTTTTGAAGTTCTTTTATTTTATCTTCCAATTTTTTTATTTTATCATCTGTTAGAGGTTTCTCTTTTTCTAACTTTTATATCTAATCTTTTAATTTATTATTTTCATTTGTTTAATCTTTATATTTTTTATTTTCCTCTTCTTTTTTTTTTATATCTTCTTGTAGTTTTTTTATTATTTCATTTTAGTTTTTATCATTTTACTTTTTTTCATTGTTTTCTTTTTAATCTTTATCAATTTTTTCTTTTAATTTTTAAATTTCTTCTTCTTTCTTTTTTAATTCTTATTCAGCTTTACTATTTTTTTCGTCTTTTTATTTTAGATTATTTATTTCTTTTTATTATTTTTGAATTTAATCTTATAATTTAACAATTTATTCATTTTTTTAGTCTATTTCTTATTTAAGTATTTTTATTTATTCTATAAATTCTTTGTCTTTATTATTTTTCTCTATCTTTTATATGTCCTCCAACAATTTCTTTATTTATTCATCCTTTTTCTTAATTTCTGTTTCATATTTTTTTATTGTTTAATTATACTCAACTTCTTTTTAAGTTAATTTTTCAACATCTTTTTTCAATTATATGTATGATTTTTATTCATTTTTATCTTTTTTTGCTTCCATTTCATATTTCTTTTTTGTTTTATTATTATCAACATCAGCATCTTCTCCAAAATCTTCTACACCATATTCTTCTTTCACTTTATTTATTTATTCATTCAACTTTTTTATTTATTTCTATAATTCATCAATTATTTGATCTTTTTTATCTAATTTTTTTTGAGTCATTTCACTTATTTATTTATATTACTCTTCTAATTATTTTAGTTTCTTTTCATTATTTTATAAATTTTTGATAGTTTGTTCAAGTTATTTATTTTCTTATTTTAATTTTTATGTTTAATCAATTTAAGATTCAATCTCTTTTGAAGTATTATTTTCTTATTTTATAATTTCCTCTTTAAGTCGTTAAACTTCTTTTTCAAATTCTTTAATTGACTCTTTATATTTCTTTTCAGAAATAATACTTGCTTTTTTTATTTCTTCTTTTTCTTTTTCAACTTTCTTTAATTTATCCAAATTATTTTAAAGTTCTCTAATTTGATTTAATAAATCTTCTATTTATGTATTTAATGATTGTTTATCATTTAATAATTCTACTTTTTCATCCTCCAATTTATCAATCTTCTTCTATTAATTTGTCTCTGATGATTTCACTTTTTAATTAATATTTTCTTTCTCTTTAGTAATCTTGGTTATTTACTTTTAATAATCTTCTATTTATTTCTTTAATTTGGTTATTTCTTATTCCATAATTTAAATATTTTCTTATTTCTCATTTAAATCTTTCTCTATATTAATAATTTATTCAGTTGTTTATTTCTCATATTCTTGGAATATTTTAATTTTTTAATTTTGATCATTTACAGTTTTATCTAAAGTTTTAACTTTTTCTTTTTATTTAGTATAATCATTTTCAATTTACACTAGTCTTTAAATTTCTATTTCTTTAATCTTAATTTGATTCTATATGTCAGCTAATTAGACTATTTTTTGCTAAAGATCTATTTTTTCTTAAGATAATTGTTGAACTTATTTAGTTAGTTTAGATATTTATTACTAAAGTGTATTTATAGTTTATTTTAACTATTCTTCTACTTTTTCTTTTTATTTTATTTAATCATTTAACTCTTCTTTCTCTCTATCAATCAAATCCATTTATGATATTTAACTATTTCTTTCTGATTTTTCTTATTGGATTTTTTTGATCTCTTCTTTTTTCTCTTTTACAGAATTCTCTATTTTTTTAATCTATTCTTAAAGTTTTTAAATAATTTCATCCTTAACTTTGATATTTAAATTAGTTTATTCTATTTCATTTTATAATATTTTATTTGCTTCTTCTTCTAATATCAACTTTTCTTGTAACTATTTCATCTATTATTAAAGTTATTTAATTTATTTTAGAATATTACTGTTTTCTGATTGAAGTTTCGATTCATTGTTCTTTCTTTATTTCTACTCTTCTTTTAAATCTTCAAACTCTTAAGAAAAATCCTAATATTAAGTTTCTAACTTTTCTAACACTGATATTTTCTCTTTTAATTTTGTTATAATTTCATCTTTTATTTTTGCTTATTAATTTAATTTATTTTCATATTATTTTTTTTCTTCCTCTAATTTCTTTTTTAACTATTCAACCTATTTTTCTAAACTTGTTTTTTCATCTTCAATTATTTATAGTTACTCTTCTATTGACTTTATTTTATTTTCAAGTAATTCTTAATTTTATTTCTGTTCCTCAATTATATTTTACTATTTTTTATATTTCTCTTCTAACTTTTTAAATTATTAAGCTTTTTCTTATAATATTTAATATTCTTACGATTTCTTTTTGATTTCTTTATTTTATTCTTCAATTTGATTTTCTAAATCTTCAATTTTATTTTATTGTTCTATTAATTTTTAATGCAAATCTTCCTTTTCTATTAATTTAACCTATGCTTTTTCATGATCTTTTTATATTTCTTTTATTTAATCTTTTAATTTTTTAATTTCTTAATCTCTCAATAAGATTTATTATTCTAAAGATTTAATTTTTTCTTCATTTATTTTTTCTTTTTCCAAATTCTCATGTAATTACTGTTCAGTTTCAATCAATTTTGTTTATATAGGGATTAATTAATCTCCTTTTTTGGTAAATTCCCTTAGTTATTCTTATAATTTTTTAATTGTTTAATCTTTTGATTATATAACTGCATTTAAATTATTAATTGTTTATTTTTGATCATCTATTTAAACTTAATTAGTTTCATCTTTTACTTTTAGTTCATTGATTTATATTTCAAGTTAAGAAAATCTCTCTTGCTTTTTTTAATATTCTTTAATTGTTTCTTAGAGTTTCTTGAAATCTAATTCATAATTTCTGATTTTTTATTAAAAATCTAATGTATCTTCTCTTACTTTTATTAATTCTGTTTCTTTCTTAATTATTTATTCATGTAATTAATCAATTTCTGATTAAATTTCTGATGATTTCTAATTTCCTAATTATTATTTCAATTTATTAATTTCAAAATCTTTTTCTCTTATTGCTAATTAAAATTTCAATTGAGTTTCATTTAATTATTATTAAGTTGTATGAAATTAATCATTAATTTATTCTATCAATTTCTCCAAACTTTAAATCTTTTCAATTTATAACTTATTTTCATCTTATAACTTTATTAATTCACGCTCTTTTTATTTTAATTGATTTTCTAATTTTTTTATTGCTTCTTTATTTTATTTATCTTACTATTGAATTTATATTTGTTATGCTTCTAATTCTTCAATCTAATTTTCCAATTTAGTAACATTATCTTTCAAAGTTTCTTTTTCAAGCTCATTTTTTTTCAACTGTTAAACTTGTTATTTTACTTAATTTTCTAATTTATTAATTAAATCTTAAGAAATTTTGCTATTTTATTCATGTTTACTAATTTATTAATTTAAATCTTGAATTTCTTTATTTAATTCATCTTCTCTATTTTAATTTTATTAATTCTCTGATAATTTATCTTTAAGTTTTTTAATTTCTTAATCTTTAATTTTAATTTATGTTTATATATTCTAAATTTAAATTTTAAGTTCTCCATTTTCTCCTATTTATTAATTTAATTTATCATATAAATCATCTAATTCTTATTATAATTTTGTAGCTCTTTCTGGAGTTCTTTAATTGCCTTAAATATTGCTCTATAATTTTTTGGTTTCAACTTCAAAATTTCTAACCTACTCTTATAATTCTTCATTTTAAACTATGAATTTTCTAATTTCATTTGTTTTTTCTTCATTTAATTCCTTAACTTTATTTGTCATTTCTTTAGTTTATTCTTAATACTTCTATAATTAGTAATCTTTAGTTTTATTATTCTACTCTAATTTATAAATATTTTCCTATTACTATTTATCAATAGAATTAAGTCTTTCAATTTCTTCTTTTAATGAATTTATGTTTTCTTCATAATCTTTTAATTTTAATTAGTATAATTATAAATCCCTATTTTTTTCTTTTAATTTCTTGATTTCTTATTCTTTAGTTTTAATATCATATTCTTGTTATAAGATTTTTTATTCTAATTCTTCTAAATGTTAAGATTAAGAATGAGCTTCTTGATGCATCTTTTCAATTTAATCATTTTGAGTAGAACTCTTCTCTAAAGTTTTTGAAGTTTCTTTAATTTATTCTTGAAGTTTTCTAACTTCTTAATCTTTTACTTTAAGAGAATCTTATAGCTCTTTCATTTAATCTTCAAAAAAACTAGTTTCATCGTGCATTTATTTGTTAATTTATTCCATCTTCTTTTGATTAGATAATAATTCATCTTTTAATTTTTAAAGGGCTTTTTAATACTCAGCTTCTTTCTTTTATTAATTTTTTTAATTTAATCTACTATCTGACTCAAAATTATCAATTTCTATCGTTAAATCTGAAATTTTCTATTCTAAATCTTCTACTTATTTTTATAATTATTTATTTTCTTATTCTAATTTTTATTTTTTACTTAATTAATCTTTTAATTATTTTATTTCCTTTTCTTTTAATTCTAATATACTTAATTACTTTTCTTATTCATTCAAAAGTGTTTCTTATTAATTCAATTTAATCATTGTTTTATTTAATTCCTACTAAAGTCGTTAATTTTCAGCTTTCAGATTTTCAATAATTTTTTATAGATCTTTTGTTTATTCTTCATCAGTTAATTTTTTTGCACCTTCTAAAATATGTTTCTTTTTCTATTTCTTTGGAGCATCATCATCTTAATCAACAATATCATCCTCTATTTTTAATTATTTAGCACCTTCCAAAGCATTTTTCTTTTTCTATTTTCCTGGAATTGGATTTTCATCTTCATCTTCAAATGGATTTTAATCTTTTTAATTTTTGTTTGCTTCATCAGGATTTCTCTAATTTTTATTAGGATCTTTTTAATTCTAATTAAAAGGATTACTAGGACTTTTATTTTGATTTTTAGGAGTTAGATTTTAATTATCATTTTTCTAAGTATTTTAAATTTTATTTGTTAAGTCTTTTATTATTTTTTATAAATCCTCAATCAAATGGTCTTTTTCTGATAATTCATTCTAAATATATAACATTCTTGTTTTATGTTCTTCAATTTCAATTTTATATTATATCAATTAAACTTACAACGTTTCCATCTCAATCAATAAATGTTAATTTTAACCTTAACCTAATTAATCATCTTTTTCAATAATAATTATTCTTAATTATTCAATTTTCTACTATAATTCTTTAATTATTTAACCATAATATTCCTCAGTTTCAGTTATTTGTTTTTTTTCACTGTTTGGATCAAATTATTTAACTTATTTAGAATTTGAAATTTGTATAATTTATTAAGTAAGTATTTCAATTTCTTAATCTCTTTCTCTTAATAATTCTTCAAAATCAACATTTCCTTAAGAATTATCTCTTTCTAAGAGTCTTTTAGTTATCAAATCTAATTCTTATATCAATTATTAATTTTATTCTTCTAATTACTTCAATTTATTAGACTATAATATTAAATATTATAACATACATTAGTACTTTTATCAACAATATCCAACTTGATTTATAAGTCTTCATTATATCTAATTTTAAAAGAATTAACCTCTTTTTATTTTTCTTATAATAATAATTTGAGTTATGTAATTTCTTATTCATAATCATTAATGGTCTTATCATGAATAGAATGCTATCTTGTATTTCTTTTTATTTTTTCAAGCTATTCACATAAATCAATATTAATTTAATTAAGATCTTTATTTTCTTTGTATAAGACATCTATGTTTCCCTTAAGCTATTCATTTTCAGCTAGTGCTTCTCTAACAACAGCATTCTAATAATGAATTGATTCTTTACAAGTTTATCATTAGCTCTAAGTAGTTTTTTTATTTTTTAATCTTAATCATCATATGATTAATGAGAAAGTGCAGGCGAAGCAGTTGGATCATAATTTCTGTACATAATAAAAATATTTTGAAATAAATTTATTAAACAAAAATAATGAAAATGATTGCTTAGTTTAAATTAAAACAGTTTTATTTTAATAAAAATTCACAATATTTTATCTAAAGTTTAACAAAGTGCTTAGAATTGCAGTTCTTCTTCTTTATCTTCTTTATCAAAAATTAATTATTTATAATCAGCATCAGGTTTTCGAAGAAGAGATTAATTCTAAACTTTTGTAATTTTTGTACTTTCCGCTGTATTATTAAAAAAGTTATTGCTAGTTTTTTACATTTTCTCTTTGCTTAAAAACTAGTTATTATGATGTATGCGAAACTTCGCCTTTATTTATAAACATCATTAATACAGTTGGGGTAATAGGATTAAACATTGGTTAACTTTTTTCTCTACTAAATTATCTAGAATTAGGTGCTTTTGGAAGTGGTTTCCTAATGAAATTAAATTATGATTAGGTTGAGGCCATCAATAACTTTTATTATTATATTAATTTATATGAAATCACAATTTTTACATTTCACTCTATTTAATTTTTGGAATCTTTGACCTCATTAAACGAAAGAACTTCTTCCATTTTCTTTATGGAATTGGTTTCCATTGATTTTTTAATTCAAAGATCAATATTGCGAATCCACATTATAAGCAAGTAAAAATAGTAGCTAATGTAGATTATTTATAGTAATTCATCTCAGTTTGAGTAATCATAAAATAAAACATAGCAATTCTTATAAATGCTGATATTAATGAAGACATTCCGCATATTAAGGATAGGTTTTATTCCTAATTCATTATAGCAAATAAAGCTAAAATATGTTATATAAATGCAATTAAATCAGCTAATAACAATCCAATTGTGATATAGTAAAATTTATCTTGGTTCTCTAACCAATAATTATCAGATAATAATAAAGAATAAAAACAGACAAAGTATAATAAAATAGCACCAGTCATTATAAATTAAACAATAAAAAGGCATCTTCCTAATTTGATTACATTCTTGTATTCTTTTTTATAATTCACTTTATTATTCTCTAAAAATTCATTCTTTTCAAGATCTTATTTTCCAATATTCATTAAGTGATTTATAAATAATATATTCAATTATCATCTAAAATTTATATCATAAGCCTTAATATTTTAATTTTAAATACAAAGTAAACAACTCAAAATTACTTTATTAATAAATTTTCACTTATATATAATTTCAACAACATTCTGAAAAATAGATTAATATCATAATTTTTCTATTTAATAGTAATATTTCTTTCAATATTCTATAAAAAAGAAAAATAAAAAAAAGAAATTGAACCTGATATTTAATCATTATAAAAATTCAATTTTTTAATTCTTAATCTTTAAAAAGGTTTTCAAAAGGGTAGAAAACGAAATGAGATTAAATTTTTATTAATTTCTATATATAAAATAAAATTTATAAAATGCATGTATTAAAAAAGTAAAGTACTTTCAAGAAAAAGAATTTTCAGGAAAAAGTAAATTAAGTTAGAAAAATAGTCTTTGTCCTATTAGAAGAACCATCATCAAGTAGATTAGCAGGATTTATATAATTTATCATTTGTTTTACTATATTGCTATCTTAAGTTTAAATACTATGTGATTCTCTACTTGATAAGTAAATGCATTAATTTAGCTAGTAATTAAACCTATAATGATTTAAGCAATGATTGTGAAATCCTTATTTTCTTTGTTTTTGTATTGGAATACGTATTTCGATTGTCAACATACACTGTTTATGGGTATCCACTAAAGAACTTTTTATTTTAGCATATGAATATAATAGGTATAATAATTGTAAAAATAGATCTGTTATCAATAGCACCTCTAAGTATTATTTCATTAGTTTATGGTAAAACAGCACTAAATGGATTTAGAATTTTAAAGTTATTTAAAGTGATAAGAATACTAAAAGTAAAGAGATATCTAAAAGGAGTAGATATTTTGTATAAAAGTGTTGCAGACAGCATTTCTTAGTTTTATTTCTTAATAATAGCTTTTTTATAGATAACTTTAGCTTACGCTATAGTATTATATTATTCAGAGCATAATACAGAGAATGATTTAGAAATATAAAATGCAGTTTGGCTTGGAATAGTAACAATGACAACAGTAGGATATGGTGATTATGTTCCAAAATCAATAATTGGGATAATTGTAACTTGTATAATGGCTTTGATGGCAAATACAGTAATATTTTCACTTCCTGTAGCAATTCTTAATATTGAATTTTAAGAACTTTATGGAAGCAAAAAAGAAGAGGAATAAATTAGTTTGCTTAAAAAAGGAATGAGATCTGGAAGAAGAGATTCTATTAAAAATAAAGAGTTTAGTTTTTTTAATTAAAGATTACAAATTATTGAATAAAGAAATACAGAAATTTAATAGTTATTAAATAAAAGCAATAAAATGGCTAAAGATCTCACAAAAGATTTAAAAAGATTGTTTCTATCAGTTAATGATGATGCAGATTAACTTCTTGATAATTTAAATTCTCCAAGATTAACTAAATAAAATGTGTTATTAGTTAAAGCCAATCTTTATGATAAATTAATGAGGGCTAAAAAGAAAATTTAAATTACAAACATTTTTAGAAATTTTAAATATGATTCTGATTAAGAAGTAAATGAGAGTCCATTAAATTAAACTGTAACTGGATAAATTACTAAATAAAAAAGTTTTTTTAGAATGATGTCTGATAGAAAAAAAAATAAAAGAAAAATAGGAATTAAAAGTCATTCTTAAGAAAATATAAATTAGTTAATTATACTTAGAAATGAAGAATTTGGTGAATTACCATTTGATTTCCTAAATGAAGTTCTTTTGTAAATTCATGATGATATGTTGGAAAATATTGATGAACATCCTATAAATTAACAAAAATAATCAATAATTTTACCTGAAAGCAGTGAAATAATTTTTAGAGAACCATCATTTAGAATTAATTCATTATTGTATAAATATAATTATATATTTAAGTGGTTTTGACAGTCCTATGAATAAAGTTAACTAAACTAATTATGGAAGCTCAAATTTATAAAAAAGAAAGATATCCGATTTTACAGGTCATATTGACAAAAAAACAATAATCAACTTAAAAAGCACTTCAAATCATCCATTCTTTACTAATGAATGTGGAATGAGAAGTATAACAGAAATATCAAAGAGTAAAAAGCAAAACTCATATACCAATTAACAAATCGACGAAATGAATTAAAAAACAAAACCTAAGATGCCTCATTAATTTATTAATTATAACAATAATCTTAAGGATATTGATATTGGCAAAAATAAAGATGAATCTCGAAAAAAAAATTTTAGAGCCTCTATTGTTGATTTATATTCACCTCATCAAACATACTTAAATATGCAAGATTAATGTTCTTGTATTTAATGCTAAAACCTTAATATTGAATAAAATTATTGAATTCATTAAAAATTTTGTGATTTTTCATTATATTTCTTAATTATTTCTATTGATTTTTCAAAATAATCATCTTTCTCCAAAAATTGTATGGTCAATAGGTCAAAACTAAAGTGAACTTCAAAAAAATTAAAGTTCTTACTAAATATATTAAAATTTTTATATTTAAACTAAATTTATACAAATCTGACATAGCCTAATTAAGTTAATTAGGTAAATTCTATTAAATCATTATTCTATAATTAATAAATAAATTTCAATTTTTATTTTATACAAAGTTTACTTGAAATAGCTAAATAATAGCCATAAATTTTCTGATTTATTATTTTAAATTTATTTTGTTTATTTATCATTTATATCCTTTACCACTTAAAATTGAATATTTATTTGAGAGTATCTTTGAATTCTTAACAAGAAATTTGAAATTATAAATTTTATTACTTAATAATAATTTAATTATGCTTATCTAAAATAAAGAACATTCTTACTCCTTTGAAAAATTTTCCATCTTCTTTAAAAATTAAAAATGATTAATTGATTCTTATATCAATAGAATTTATGAATTTAAATTTATTTTGAAAAATTAAATAAAGGTCTAAAATTGCATAACCTTTCCTAACTATTAAAAAATTTTCTTATTAATCCTTAATCGAATTATGTGATTGTTTAATTTGAAGTGACAAAAATAACAGATTTATTTTCTTTTTTGCTATTTTAAAAATACTAATAATCAAATTCGTATTAAAGACATAACATTTGATTTTGAAAAATGAGGAAGGTTCATGGTATGAGAATATATCTAATTTTATGCCATATATATTTTATGAAATAAAGTTAGAACTTAATATTATGAATTAAAAATAATTTAAAGTTTAATTTTCCAATAGTTAAGAAATACGAGATATTAGAGAAAGTGTAGTATTTAAAAATTCATTATTTCTTTAAATGATCGATGAATTAAATCCTAAAGGAGAAACAATTCATTTAGATGTGAAAGTTGAAGATTTCGATAAGATAGGTGCGTTTATTTTAACATTGTTTGATAATTTAAAATGCTAATAAGAAAATAATGTTTTTAATAACTTGGAAGAGTAAGAATAGATGCTATGAAATAGCTTAAGAATTTAAGAATTATCTAAAGATTTATTCAAAGATTTGGCAGAAAAATAAATCTTGTAATTGCTCTCTGTTGCAGAATATTTAGATATTCCAGGTCTTATAGTTGTGTTAACAACATAATTTAGCTCATTAATAAAAGGTATTTGATCTAATTATCCCTTAGATCATCCAACAACATTTATCAATTAAAGTTTATGATATAAGTATTCTATTATCGAAATATTTCATTCATTATAGTATTATAATAATATCAATTTTTTAATTGAGATGTGTTTTGATCTGAAGTTAACTAAAAAAGGATCACCATATCAAATTATTGAATTGTTAAAAGATTATTAGAGAAGTAGATTCTATGTGGTGGAGAATACATGGTAATTAAAATATTAAACAATATGTATTGTTTTTGGTGTCTTAAGGTTTATCATATTTTAAATATAAATAAATAAATTCAGATATGTTTTTAAGGAACAGATTGCATTCTCTACGCAAATTAGCATAATTTTGCACAGCTGAAAGTGTATCAGGAAAGAAGACTCCTTCAACATAAGCTCAATAGACAAAAGTAGAGAGAAATTTCTAATTACAATTCTCAAAGTCAGCATTAGTGGACTTTGGAGAATTGCCAACAGGAGAAATACCTGAAGCTTTGAAGTATGATAGACCTTAAGGTAAAGATATATATTGAAATTTAAGCCTTGACTTAATTAGATAGTGGTTTGAGAGTAGTGTCTGAATAATATAATTCTCCATTAGCTTCAATAACAGTAGCTGTGAAAGCAGGATCAAGATTTGAAACTTTAGAAAGTTCAGGAGTTTCAAACTTTATTTCAAAATTAAATTTGAGAGTAGGAATAATTAATTATGTTAGGGTACAACAACAAGATCAAGAGAATAAGTTGAAGCAGAAATTGATTATTTGGGAGGATCTTTAAAAGTTAAATAAGGAAGAGAATTATAGACTTACACACTAACATTTTTACCATCNAAAGACATAACATTTGATTTTGAAAAATGAGGAAGGTTCATGGTATGAGAATATATCTAATTTTATGCCATATATATTTTATGAAATAAAGTTAGAACTTAATATTATGAATTAAAAATAATTTAAAGTTTAATTTTCCAATAGTTAAGAAATACGAGATATTAGAGAAAGTGTAGTATTTAAAAATTCATTATTTCTTTAAATGATCGATGAATTAAATCCTAAAGGAGAAACAATTCATTTAGATGTGAAAGTTGAAGATTTCGATAAGATAGGTGCGTTTATTTTAACATTGTTTGATAATTTAAAATGCTAATAAGAAAATAATGTTTTTAATAACTTGGAAGAGTAAGAATAGATGCTATGAAATAGCTTAAGAATTTAAGAATTATCTAAAGATTTATTCAAAGATTTGGCAGAAAAATAAATCTTGTAATTGCTCTCTGTTGCAGAATATTTAGATATTCCAGGTCTTATAGTTGTGTTAACAACATAATTTAGCTCATTAATAAAAGGTATTTGATCTAATTATCCCTTAGATCATCCAACAACATTTATCAATTAAAGTTTATGATATAAGTATTCTATTATCGAAATATTTCATTCATTATAGTATTATAATAATATCAATTTTTTAATTGAGATGTGTTTTGATCTGAAGTTAACTAAAAAAGGATCACCATATCAAATTATTGAATTGTTAAAAGATTATTAGAGAAGTAGATTCTATGTGGTGGAGAATACATGGTAATTAAAATATTAAACAATATGTATTGTTTTTGGTGTCTTAAGGTTTATCATATTTTAAATATAAATAAATAAATTCAGATATGTTTTTAAGGAACAGATTGCATTCTCTACGCAAATTAGCATAATTTTGCACAGCTGAAAGTGTATCAGGAAAGAAGACTCCTTCAACATAAGCTCAATAGACAAAAGTAGAGAGAAATTTCTAATTACAATTCTCAAAGTCAGCATTAGTGGACTTTGGAGAATTGCCAACAGGAGAAATACCTGAAGCTTTGAAGTATGATAGACCTTAAGGTAAAGATATATATTGAAATTTAAGCCTTGACTTAATTAGATAGTGGTTTGAGAGTAGTGTCTGAATAATATAATTCTCCATTAGCTTCAATAACAGTAGCTGTGAAAGCAGGATCAAGATTTGAAACTTTAGAAAGTTCAGGAGTTTCAAACTTTATTTCAAAATTAAATTTGAGAGTAGGAATAATTAATTATGTTAGGGTACAACAACAAGATCAAGAGAATAAGTTGAAGCAGAAATTGATTATTTGGGAGGATCTTTAAAAGTTAAATAAGGAAGAGAATTATAGACTTACACACTAACATTTTTACCATCAGAATTAGAGAGAGCAGTAAGTTTTTTAGGAGATATATTGACAAATTCATTATATTCCC